CAGGTAATGATGTGGCTACATTCGCCACTTGTGCTGTGTTCGGCTAACAACCTGGTGTGATTTGACCACCATACTGACATTATCCTAACTCCACGTTACAGTATTAATTTTAGTTACCATCAAGATCATGCTGATTGGAACGCTATTGATTACACATTAATGATTTAATTCAACTAGTGTGTTGCAACATACAATATTAAATCATACAGAAGTGTATCCATCATTATCTTCATAGTCAAAGTCATTAACTGGGCCAGATTAACATCATACATGCATTGTCCAAGTCTTAACTTAAAGAAGTATACCTCTTAAAAATTTAAAATACAAAATACAATAGAACATAGTTTTTGTGCACTGTAATCACAATGTTTGCAAATACTACCAGTAAATTCACGGATCCTATTGTTGAAATATATTGAAGTAGCTGCTAGGGGGCTAGGCCAAATATTTTATTGTCTTATTCCAGACCATGTGTTTTAGTGTAATGTTTATGATGTGATTCTTTTTTGAAAGTTGTTGTTTTTGTATTAAGAAGGAATACAACTATTTTTTTATGTGTTTTTATCAAATATAACACCTATTATTATGTGATCAGCTAACTCATGAAGTTGTATAATACGAAAATAGCATATTTCATCACTTGGGCCTAAAGTGACTCTTTTCCACCTGAGGTCAAGTTTTACGCGAGGGTTGAAAAGACACTTTTTGCTCGTGTGATGAACTATATTTTTTGTCATAATGCACCATCATTTGAACAAAATATGTTACAAAACTAAATAGTTTTAATTTAAAGTAACTCGAAAATCTACTTCTAACTTGTTATCAATTTAATTTGATAATGGAAACAAGGAGCTGTTTAGTACGCGATTCAATCGTTTTGTCGATTGTGTTTAGTGTACATTATAATATTGATATGTTAAATTTACAAGGCAACAATAAACAACAATCGATTAAACAATCGATACATACGTTACACACGATTTTTTACAATCGAAATTTACAACTGAGTTGACATCAGCTGATTTTTACAGAGTAAAAATTCCACTTTAGACCCGCAACGCATGCAATTAAAAATGGCTGTTTTTGCTGCAGTATGGCAAAAATGGCTGTTTTTGCTGCATTATGGCAAAAATGCAATTATTTATGTTGTGAAGGTACATAAAGTCAGTGCAATGTACAGCAGGTAATGATGTAATGTTAGTGACATTGCCACTTCAAATAACAATCTGTCTACTGTACCAGATATGTGGTCAGCTGACTCATGTAGTTGTAGTGGATGTGATCAATTCAATTGGTAATAATATGAAAATAACATTAAGTTGTTCAAAGGTTTATTGCGGACATTTTCCATCACGATGGTAAAAAACAATACACAAGGTTTCGGGATCTGGAATCTGATCCCGTCCTCAGGTGAAAAAATCTTAACTAACACATTACAACTAACAATACACAAACCAACAACCTAAGTTGGAATACACTACAAGGGTAGAAGTCAAAAAATGGACAAGCAGAAAGTCAGTGGCAATGTACAGCAGGTAATGATGTAATGTTAGGGACATTGTCACTCCTACTAACAAGCTGTCTACTGACACTCTACTGACTACTGAGCTGACTCGTGTAGTTGTAGTGGATGTGAACAATTCAATTGGTAATGATGTGAAAATAACATTTTCACCACACTAAGATGTTTTTGGCTGTATTGCATACGTTAATTGGTGGCTGAAAGTTACGTTTTGCTGGCCATGCCAGCTGTCATCGTAATTTGGGGACCGAGCAGGTTTTTACATCCCGGGGCGGCAAAATCAGCTGTCTGCTTGCATATTAATTACACAAACAGTATCTATAGCATTGATAATAGCAACTGTTTATTATTATTTTTGCTGTATTATTGTTTTTGCGTTTTCGGCCCTAGGTACGAAATATACTATTAGTCAGTGACAATGTACTGTAGTGATTAAAAATTAAAATACCCCCGCCGCAGCAACCTGCTGACTAAGCGAATTTCCATTTTCCTGAATTGATTTTAAATTAAATATATTTAAATGACATTATGTTTTTATGAGCACTTAGGTTTGCTGCTACAGGGAGGATAATAAAGTGTGGTCTTAAAATGTTTATTTTAAATTTGCAATTTTTTTTAATGTTCTCTGTTTACAGTAACCAATAATAACCATACAAAAACACTTTGGTATACTAAATTATTTGTTTTTAAGCTCTTTAAAATGGTACCCCATAAACCCCTGTAAAACCTGTTCCCATGGTCCGATTATGCTGGTTCGCGAACTCATTCTTCAAGTTAATCCCGCCTTAAACTTTCAACCCAAAATCTTTTTTTTTTTTTTTTACTTTATTTAATTTGATAAAAATTGTTCAAGTTATCATGTTTACGGACGTATATATCTAATATATATATATATATATGAATGAATTGAATTGAATGAACAGTGTTTTTGGCCTCTAGGGACATTGAAATGAAAAAGTATATCGGTCCCGGCTCCCGGTCTTACCATGCCACCTACGGCATTAGCTACTTTCCTTAAGGGAAATTCGCTAAAAGAACAGTTTAAAAATATTCGAAATTTTGGTCAAAAAGAGTTAAAATTTATAGGTTAAATTAGCATAAATTGCTCAACAACTCCTACATATTTATATTTAGGGCATTTTTGTAAAATACAAAAGTTGTTCCTTGTTGTTTAAGCAACATTTATTGTATTAAGTTTAACTCGCTATATATTACAGTTTTGGATATATAAGCTTCCTATGAGTTTCATGTAATAAATGCCACCACCATTTTTAAAATGTTGGATTCTGAGGTTATGCCCACTCTGCCATGCTGGCACCTGAGTGAAAAATTATAACTTGCATAGTACCTACATGATCCCTTAAGGTGTTTTTCTATATACATAAAATGCACTCAGGAGTGAAAATTTTAAAAACGTACGTTTTCAGGAAAAGCACTTTGCAAAATTTGTTCCCCTTTTTTCAAAACTTTTATTATTTTTTTTATTTCATTAACATTTGAAGTTTCATAAAATGTCCATGGTAACGCAATATCTTTGGTAGTTTTCTTTTTAAAGAGCATCTTTAGTAGAAAAACACAAAATCCTGTCACGACCATAACGGACGTTTAAATGAATATTAAAAATAGTTAATATTATTTTTATAACTATGTTTTGCTATGAACTAATTTACTTTTTTGACCATTATACAATAAAAAGGTCACTGAGCTTTTGGTATATTTGGTCTTTCTAGAAAAAAAAAAAAACTCAAAAATAGAAAAAAGCCAATAAAATCTTTTTAAGTTTGTATAACACCGAAAAAACTTACCTGAGACCCGAAAAATCGTTATGTTTGTATAGAGGTGTGCTTCTTTTGTATATAAAGCATTGAAATATGACGATATTTTAATTTTTGAAATTTGTATGATAGAAATCATGAACGTGATGGTCAGGGACAAGCGGTACAGTCGTGAATTGTCTGGAATAATCTAAATCTTTCTAAACAATCCTTCAATTATACTGTTAGTTATAATAAAACTATGTGTTTCAATTGAACTAAACTGTTCAATTTACAATTATATTAAAGTTATTGTCACGACCAAACACACTATAATCCATAAGGCTGGATTGGTCGTGAAAAAAACCGCGATGGTCGTGAAACTTTGGTCGTGAAATTACGTGTTATTTGGCTCTGTTCTGGCGGTAGTCTTGCACCTCATGTTCGAGGATATAAAGTGGACTTCTAGGTTAATTCAGCAATTGAAATATCTTATAAACAAAAATTAACACCATGTCTACTTCATCGAATGACTACGTACGGTCATGAACACACCAAAATTACAAAAAACACAATCATTCCTTTATTAATCTTGTAATTCCTCCTTTCAACTCAAAACGACCGGCACTACAATCCAGATGTACACCCCGAACTAGTCTCTAAAACCAACTGACTCCATCGACGCCAGGCTTGCCACTGTCGTGCTCCAAAGTTGAACATTTTTCCCAAATGGTCGTGACGCCAAATCGAGGGACAGACTTATTTTGTCATGGTAGTCAGTCTGCAATGACAATAAAATTATAATATGCTCCTTTTTTGTAAGTTTAATAACCATTGATGACATAAAAATATGGCTTTATATATTTCGACATGAATAATTAGTCTAAAAACAGCGTGAAAGTTGGAAAATGTACCCTAGGGACACGTCATGGTCGTGAATTTCGAGACTTTAAAAATACGAAAAAAATACCTAGAACCTATTTAAAACCAAATAAATGTGTGTAACATGTTGCCCCCGTCCCAACAAATATTAAAACACATAATAATAAACTACAAATCCAGTATCTACGAAGTAAAAGGCCAGGGACATGAAAACGTACGTTTTTAAATTTTCACTCTCAGGAAACCCCCTAGCAAGTGGATTAAGTGGTAAGTAATGAAATTCATGATTTATTAATGTTGGTGTAATCCAGTGGGCAAATTGTCATGTGAGTTGATGTTGATATGAGGAGCCACATAATGCCTGGGTCTGGTAATGGCAAGATACAATTATCTCAATCGCTTCCTATTAGGTCAATTAGGCCACAGTTCTGAAATTATGCTAATGGCCTGTCTATCAAGCTTCCAATCTCAAGTACATTTCAGTAATGCATTATCAGCTTCAGATTAAGGGATCCAATCAGTAATGATTATAAAACAATGTGTAGATAAATTAAGTCAGATCAATAAAACTTTCCCTGTTTGAAATTCATTGTTGGTGGGTGAGTTAATGGTCTGATGTGTTATGAATTTATTGTGATGGAAAATATCCACAGTAAATCTTTGAACAACAATAAAACTTTGTTTAGGTCGATTTTTGTGCATATTTCTTACCACAGATGAATAGGCACATAAGATTAGGTGTAAAAGAGTTGATTATTTTAATGATATAATATGTCTACATAATATTTGAAGTATTTCATTAGCACATAAAAAAGGATAAGGTAATTTTTTTAAAGAACAACTTAATTCATTCAATTTATTAAACAGATAACATTTCATGGATACAACAGTAACATAAGAAACTAGCTGGACATGACTAACTTTATGATTAGGCTAATTATTAAATAGCTTCTTGATTATTACATACACGATTGTGCAAGCTGTTTATGGAGAATTACAAACATCATACATATTACTTATACAAAGTGAGTAATTATTTGTCATGGAATATTTATTTGGAAATCCTCATGGAACATCCTATGAACCGTATGGTGCAAAGCACTCTAAAAGGCTAAACACAGCCTAGCTAAGAATTAAAATTAAATTATAGAAAATTATATTTAGGTAGGTACTCATGTTATGATTCTCAACGATTAAAAATACTATTATGTTATGATCCGAGTCAAATGATTTTTAGAAAACTGCTCAATTAAAAGCTACACTACTAAATAACAGAACTATGGAAAGGATCTCAATCATGAGTTTGAGGTTAGACCTGAGGTATTATTATATTTGATCAGACATTCTCCTTATGCTTCTTTTGTATCAGCCCAACCATCCACATTGGTCTTATTCTTGTTTGAACTGCCTTCCCTTGTCTCTGTAATACACAATTAGAGAGACATGGGAAGGCAGTTCAAGCATACAGACAAATTTTATTAAAGCGTTGGGTTTGAGTTTTAGGCTCCACTGACATTGTTTGTGACGCCATTGTATCTCTTTGAGAGATCCCAAATAAAGAAATTTATCGAGTAAAGAAAGGTGCAGCCAAGCCTAAAATTTAATGCCTGATGATTTGCCATATTGATTTTTTTAACGTTATTCGTAAAATAATATATCACAGGAAATCATTTATATACATAAATACTAGTATGATACTTTGCTTTTAACAATCTGCATTATTATTATTGTTTGTAGAGTAACTTTCCCCAAGAGATAATAGAAATTATAATATTACAACAGATATTAAAACTATATACAAAAGGTAAAATTCAAAGTATTCAATATAAGACTAGAAAGAAGTACAAGTTTTGTCTTAGTCAAAGAGTTTATTCAGTAACAAAATTATAAATAATAAAGCACGCCTTGGTATTTTCTAAATTTGTTTATTCTTCATAAACAAAACCTATTTTTCTAAACAATACTAACTTAAATAAACTTACATTATGATATTTATCACATGTGCATTTTTCTATTCTTCGTTCACAATATTTTTGCAGTTTTAGAAGAATAAATCTATCCCCTCCAATTGACTCCTTGTTTTTAAAATAATAGCTCAATAGCTGATCAAGCAACAAACATTAAATACAAAAAAAGTAGTGGGGAAACTTCCTCTCAAACCACCTAAATATTGTGAATAAAGTATAGTTCAAGAATGGTTTAAACTTTAACAAGAATAAGCAAACTATAAAATAAGATTTAAAGCTAGGAAACGTAATATGTGTATTACAAAATCCAGTTAAGGAACCATTGAGGAACAACCAATTGTAAACAATCTTACAAACCTCTTAGAAAAAACACTTGTTTACAAGTTTTGCAAGATAAAATTATAAAATAACTTTAATGGTACATGGATTTTAAGATGATTCTTTAATTGGAAACCATACACACCAATTAACTCAACTTCAACTATAACTAACTTAATTGTTTTCCTAAAATTAAGAATAACATTCTAAATAATTGTATTTAGAATATAAATGAGGATATAAGAGAAAATCTAAAATAAAATATAACAAGCCCTCTTGTGTGTATTACCAAAAAAATATTGGTTCACATGGAGTAAAAATGTAGAATATTTTGGTATGAAAGTATCCCTGATGTGTGAATTGGAGAGAGCCCTCATGTGTATGCGTGGTCTGATCATTTATATGTAATAATTATCCAAGACTGGCTGCTACTCCTAGACAAAAGATAAAATAGATAATTTGTGAAATAATATAAGGTAAGTTCTATACCTACAGAATAAACTTATTTTCTTAATACAATAACTAATACAATACTGTGGCAGTTTAGTTTAAGATGGTAAATTCTATTCAGTGAATTTAAGCAGAGAACATGTTAATCATAAGTCAATACACATTTCTAAGACATTTTTCCTCTTTATTTCCTCCAAGTTATAACCCAAACTTTTAATGTCAGATAACTTAAAGTTGAAAAAGAGTCTAACTAATTTTTGTTTCTTTAGTCTTTAATCCTCCTATCCTCCTGACACTATTGAGAAATTTTACACTTTTAAAACGACATAACGGTATGTGTTTCATTTTAACGTAAAATAGTTTCCTATGATAAGTACCAGTAAGTGCCAGTAATTCCAAACTTTGATGTTAAATTTGATTGATCTTAAAACAAATATGTGAAGATTTCGTTGGGCAAGAGTGCATAATGAACTCTCAATTTTATGGCTTGGTAAAAATTAGCCAAACAATGAGATTAATCTTTATTCAGCCAAACTTAAATTGAATTTATTAAAAAGTATAAAATCCCATAGAAAAGTTAAATTGGTATTGCCAGAGTGTACATTGTGTGGTCATCAAAATTACCAAAAGCATTAGCTGCAAAATAATTAACTTATTCATATGAATCAGAAAATTGCTAACTCTATATTTTGCTACAGATTAACAAAACAACCTTTTTTTGTTTTTAATTGGAAGATACAGGAAAATAAACCAGGAGCAAACATTTGGCTTACGATCTTGTAGCGCGATTCATAACAAGTTTTATAAAAATAATAAGAAAAGAAAACATAAAATTTAGTTTGGAATTCAAATAAATTATAATGGTTTTTTTCACAGCTTACACAGCCTCTATAAACCAATTGTATATTTGTAATTATAAGTATTAAAATGTATACAGTGTCTTTGTGTATCAATTATATAAAAGCTCTACAATTATTTCATAAATTAATTCCCTTAAAATACTTATATGGTTTTTAATATTTTTTTTATGTCAAAACTTTAAAGCTATAATTTAGAAATCACTATTGGATTTGAATACTGTCTACATCTCAAAAACAGGAACAGACCCAGAAAACCTCTGGGGTTGGCAGTAGAACTACCTCTGAAATTTTAAAAATAGTACCTAACAGAAAAGATGTTCACAAATATCCAAAAATTAGATTCATACCCCTGCAGAGTGAAATGTTGAGGGTAATTTTGAACTTAAAATAATAAAAATGAAATGGTTCACAGGAAGGATATGGTGATGAGTTACGACATTATAAATTTAAAGTTATTTCATAATTACTGATTTTCATCTCAAGCAGACATATACTTTTTACCAAAAAAATAATTGTAAAGGTCTACACAAGTTGTTCGTCAACAAAAACATTAAGTATTTTATTAACGCAAAAAAATGTTTTAAGTGGCTCTTAACTTTCCATTATTTTTATTGTGGATAAAAACAAACCAAATAAACATAAAACATTGATTTCCACTCAAATTAACAATAAACTAAGAAATTGCAGCCCTACACAATAACCCACATCCACCTTACAAGGTATATGTTGAGCTTCCCTTACAGATCTTCAAAGAATCAACGACAAATAAAATTATTTTTTTGGTTATAAATCCAAATCAGTAAATATATAAAAGGAGAGGTATACAGAAACATTAGAAACTATCTCAATTTCTAGTATATACTAGTATATTTGAATATACTACAGGGAGTATATACTATTGTAAAAAGGTCAAAAATCAACTAATACTTGATGTGAACGATTGATAGAATAATTTTGTTCAAGAATTTGAATTGTAAAACTGATTTGAATTTATTATGTTTTTATAACAGAATGGCCAGAATATTTCTTTAATGGTATAGTAAATTCAGTTATGGTCACTTAACTCTTGCAAACCTGTAAACAAGACTATTTTACATTTTTTATCAATTTCATATCAGCGACATTAAGTAAACTATAAAAAAATAATTAACTGTTTTACTTCAATAAGGTTTTTTATTGCCGTAAATATGACGATAAATCAACACAAGGTAATTTTAACATTAATGTTTAAATATTTTTTCTCCAGATTATGAGAACTGCTAGAATTTCATTTCAGCGATTCAGTTAACTATACCAATTATTAGCTATTTCAATTAATTTTTGTACTTTAAATGGCGTAAATATCATAATAAATTAACACAAGGTAATTTTATTTTTTAACATCTAAAAGTATTTTTTCCACAGATTATATGAACTGCTAGAGTCATCTTCACTACATGAAGGATTTTCTAGTTTAGGTTTCTTTGACAGGAACTTAATGTCTTGGGGAGTAGTTTGAAAACTCTCTTCTCTCAGTCTTTTATTTGATTTTGCATCTGAAAATATATTTGAAAAATAAAAAAGTATTTAGAAACTATAAAAGAGTTACATTAGAAAAGCCAATGTTTCATTCAACGGCAAAGACAGCTAGCTTTCGTGGAGATATTACCACGAAGTTTCCAAAATGATTTCGAGAAGGCTATCTTTGTAAAATGTCAATATTGTCAATATAAAAAATAATGTAAAATAAAACAACAAAAATGTATAAACAATTTTATAAAACATAGTAGGGCCTACTGCAAGTATAAAGGTAGGGAAGTATTTTTCATATATTTGAAAAAAATCCGTTTTCAATAGAAACAAAACAAGTTTAATGCTTTTAGGCATTTGGTTAAAACCTAACCGAATTTCATAGACAACATTTTAGGTTGAATTTTAAGGAAAATTTATGCGTGGAATAAAGATTTGTTTATGTTTGAAAATTTAGAAACTGGATCAAAATGATGCAAAAACGTTACAGACCTAAGGTTACACCAAGGCAACACTAAATAAACAGACCGGAATGCTCCTCTGGCATGACATCATCATAGATGACGGCAATGACGTGATGTTTGCCGTTTGTGATCAGCTGCTTGTTTTAATCTTTTCTTGGAAAACAAAAATATAACAAAAAAATGACATTACGTCATTGCCATCGCCTATGATGACGTCATACCAGAGGAGCATTACCGCCTGTTAATTTAGTGTTGCCTTGGTTACACAGAGGGTCTGAGCTAAGCTATTAAGTACACATGTTTGTACTGATATGTTGTCTACATATAATTCACAAAAAAAGATAGACTAGCTGGTAAAAAAATTTTCTCTTAAAATATCTCTTGCTACTTAATGCCAAGTGCTACATGCCCCAGTTCAGAAAGCGAACTCCCATAAAAACGTTTCAGAGGAAAAAAAAGTAAACTTGATAAGCTCGTTTCCATTGTAAAAAAAAAATAAACTACGGCCATATTTGATTTGACAACCAAACAAAAACTCAAAATTCAGGTTAAATCTTATACGGTGTAAAACATCATACGTGTTAATTTCAAATATGATTTCTAATAAGGTAGAAAAGCAATGGTTACAGAAACTAATCTAGAACACATATGTTAGTAATGGAAACAATTAAATATAATAGGAACACTTTCTCACAATATAATATTTTACATTCCGTATCATATAATTTTCTTAACTTTTTCTTGAAAGCTTTGGTTCAGTGCTAATGTCTACTATAGCCTTCTCTAGTAAACAAGGCCGCGGCGAGTGAAAACTGGCATCTGAGTCTTGGTGCGTGATCGTCTTGCCATTACACTGAATGGAGGAGTCGCGTACCGACATACTTATTCGCACATCTACTACCCTTAATCATTAGTGATGACATTAAACTTGTTACTACAGCATGCCAGATAGAGGTGTTGTGCCTTGGTGCAAGAGTAATTACGAAAGCTCAATTAAAACTGAATGATACATACAGTGTTTTAAGATTCTAAGTTATCTGCAGCGTAAGCAACGATGGCTTCCTGCTATTAACTCTTCAGTGAAATTTGACACCATAAACAATTTGCGTGTGCGTGAAACATTTTCACGAATATGAACTTAGATTTGTAAACAAATATAAGAATAAAGACAATGATTCGTGTAAATATTCGCGAGAGTTTTAGGTGAGATTGCCGTAACTACACTATTTCCTAATTAGTTTTTTAATCTTATTGATAAACTCTGTTGTTAAGTGATTAAAATAACTTCTTAAATAACTAGAACTTCAAAGAAATAAACCGGTGTTTAATATAAGTACTAATAAAAATATGTACTACACCACCTAACAATAAAAGCATCAGAGTCTCCAGAGGGAATGCTGATGTGGTAAAAAAATTCAATTAATATTGCAGAAAGCGATATGGAGGCCTAGCTTCTGAAATCGTTTACAATATGGCAAACGTTTTGTTTAGTAACTTAATAGTCAAAGGTTATAGCTAACTTGTGGTTCCTCAGGTAGACTAAAACATAATATTCCTATTTCAAATTGAAAAATAATTTAATTTGAACAATTTGGTGTTAGTCTCTACAAATCCATTTGCAATGGAAGTCTTATTTCAAATTATCAAAGTGGCAATGGCAATAGTCCTATTACCATTCTTGGTATAGTAGCTATATTTTTGTAAAATTTAAACCATTCGGTCTAGTAGTTTTTACAATATTGAACAACACACATGCAGACAGACACAATTTGATTTTTATATAATAGTATAGATTATCAAATTAACAAGGGAAATATGCAAAGTCCATACATTTCCACATGCATCGTACTTACAATACAATAAGATAAATGCAACAAAAATCATCATGTTTGTATGTTTAGTTTTAGACATATTGTGGTATGTTGCATTTTTTCACTAAATAAACAAATTAGATTCAATTTTTTCTATTTTACCATACCCTAGAATCCACTAATATAGGTGCATCAATTACATAGGTACTAAGATTGGAAGTCATTTACATACTTTCATTCATTGATACAGAGCAGCGATACTCTCATTAATGTTAGCCTTGCAAGTGTGCAGGACCCAGGCGGCTGGTGAGTGCGGCGTTGCCAGTTCGAATGTCGCGGCCTTGTGTATTAGAGGTGGCTATGGTTGTACTAAATTTATAGGTCACCAAATGTATGCAAATATATAATTTATTTAGGCATAAGTTTGGAGAGAACTTATTATGTTAGAACGTGTTATATTATAAGAATACTTTAACTGGAAAATGTAATAAAAACATCAAATTTAAATTTAATATAGGCCCTAGTTGTTATTTTTTACTACTATATGATCATTCAATTTTGTTTTGGAATTTTACACAATTTTATCCTAGTAGTAAAAATAGGAAAAAATATTTTTTTATGAAACCATAATTATGTATTAATTAGGGGAAATAGTTCTCTCAATAAAAACAGGCTTCAGCACACACAAATTCAGACTTACCCTCACCAACTAAACTGTCTGAGAACCAATCAAAAACTGTTGTAGTTAACTGGACAAGGGACTCCAAAACCACTGAAAAGACCAGACTATTTGGTTTTTTTCCAGACTTGCCAGGGTATTGAAAATTCTCTTGTCAACGGAAGATCATTTTAGTTCAAATCAAAATCAAATGCAATGAAACTTTATTACCAAGTACATAGCATGGCTTTAAAAACAGGTGACATTGTCAAATTAAATATTCTCAAGTTAAATAAATTCCCACTAGAACTTTATGAGAAGATAGTGTATTCACTATGTAGATAAAACTATCATTAAAATACAGCACTGCATGTAAAACAAAAAATATATAACCAGGCAGGGACTCACCTAACATGTATACCAAAATAATCACGTTGTCAACTTTTTTTGCATTTTTTTCAAGGTAACGACTAATGTAAAATCTGAGATGGACTAAAGTCGTATGTTGAGATGGTGTGCTATTCAGTCTTTAATGTGCTAAATGCTAAACCTTGTCATAAGAGAGTCAGGAGGATAAATTTAAAATAGTAAACTGTACCTCTGAAAAATTTTAATTAATTTTTAAAACCAGTTGTTTTTAATTGTTGAATGGAAACCGTCTACAATTGGCAACAATTATCATATATTTGGGTGAGAAAAACTTGTCAGTTGAGGACTAATAATCAATATGAATTTACAAAAGAAAAATGTAAGGCTAATTTGTATGTTTTCATCATATTGGCACAGTAATTAATAAACTAATAAATCCAATGATTAAGGAATTTGATAATGTATGAAATTGTTTCATAATGAGATTTCAGCAGTTTGGAATAGTGGCACTCATGTAATTATCATGTTCTGATTACAACTGTTGTTACCTGTTTTTGCTCTCATTTTTCCCTCTGTGAACAATCTATCTTTTTAGAACACAAAACGTTCGGATTTAATTAAACCAACAGAGTTAACAACCGATAATTTTAAACGTAAATGACCACTAATCGGTACCTCAGTTCCTCCTCATTTCGGTACCTTTAACAACAAGGAATTACAAAGGAAGTTTGGAGGTTTTTATCTCATCATGATCAGATAAAATATGAATCAGCTTATGATACATATTTTAGGTAAAGAAAACTGAGTTTGATGCAAACTTGATTCTTGGTTCAAAATCAATTTTATCATGTAAGAGGTGTATTCAATGTTGAGGTTGTATTGCCCTAGGAATTCTAGAACACCCTCATGAGATAAAATTAACCCTAAGAGTTTAAAGCATATGTGATTACTTGTTAACTGTGGGCACCTTGAGCAAGAGACCGGTTGCCGGTGAGCAGGCTCGCCAAGCGACATACAGCCTCGTCGTTCCTCATAATATACGCCTTTGTCTCCCAAAGCATGTTCACCAGCTTCGCATCATTTTTTTCATCCATTGCGACGTCTTCTGATAATTGTGGTGAAAATCTGTTGAAATGTGAACTGGTTAAAGTTCTGCTATGGGAGGATATATTAACTTATTGAACTACCGTCCACATATATTTACTATTGATCTTTGGTTGATCTGTTATTGTTAATGCATGCAAAACAATGTACTAGCCTATTAATTATTTGCGAAATGATCACTCTTCACTCTAGTCATCACTCTTCCACTTGTTAGTTCAGCAATTTCTGTACTCTATGTTAATTAATTATTTATTTTAACTTTGACCTCTAGGCCTATTATTAGCCATCTTGTACACGTGTGCCAACAGGATTTTTCCAGAATTCTGAGAAATAGTAATGATGTCCATAAGACCACGGGATATGATCACGATACTACCATAATAACATTGTGACGGATGCACATTTCACCAAATTTAAAAGCTCGGCTTGAACTTGGCTAGAACATAAATCTCAGGCTCTCACACTTCTTTAATTAACTTTTATTTTTATTTTTGAAAAGTTGGAGGGTTGTGAGGTGCTGGAGGACACCCTGGGGCCTAAGACAAAGAGAGGAAAACGTGCAAAAAATGTACAATAGATTCAATTAGACATGACTAACATACCTGAAGTATGGAACACCGATCATACTGCACCAGGCATTACACCTGTCAATGACTCTGCCATCAGCCAGGGTGGCTTGGTCCACCAGTAGTGTACCTAGTGCTGAGATACCCATAACCAGTCTGGCAGAGTCCCAAATACTCTCAGGCCTGAACACGTCAACTGGTGGCAGCTGCGGAAATTACTCAAAGTAAATGACAGTTGTTGAATAAGAACAGGAACCTTTTTTGTTCTCTAAACATTTTTCAAAGCAATAGTGTTTGTCATTTTGAGAATTTTTACGTATAGTAATACAACGTAATTAAATATATTAATGAAAAAATAACAAAGATAATTTAATTGAAAAAGTTGAAATAAGCTGGCTTAGTTTAAAATCAGCTAATGACAGGTATGTGATGAATGACTAGATAGTGCATTATTGCCCTACTAGGCAACAAGCCTACTTGCTAAAGTGTTTGTACTACAGTATTATATTTGTTTTAAAACATCTACGCTGCAGCCAAGTAGCTTGACAAAACAATATATTTTTGGGTTTCCTCATCAAGTTTAAGCAAAAAAATTTAAATCCTGAACCTTAGTAACCAGATTGATGAACGATAAAATGTACTGTAAGACAGTAATCAGAAATTTGCTTTAGTGCTTCTGCCAGTGGCTCAGCTTTACTCTTCCCTATTTGATTTTAAAACTGGGGACAACTTTTGACATGGAGATGGAATGTTTAAACCTCCCAATGAATCATATGTAGGAAGTAGGACTACCTGTTTGACTGGTATACAGCCAGTGCCCACTGACACCACTACTGTAGGAGGCTTCACCTCAGCATCCCGTCCTAAACACCGTAGTGCCGTGTTGTACTCATGTATCTCTGTCAATGCGTCCATAGTCGGGTTGTTGGCAATCAAACCTCCGTCAATGTACCGACCAAACGCCCTGTAACATTTGTAATTATTACACTAATGTATTTCCAAACACAAAAAATTGCTTTATTTGAGAAGCAAAGTTACGGCTGGTAAGCCTCTCTACCATTCGAACTCTAAAAAAAGGGACACTCATATCGAAGGAGATATTTGGCCACAACAACCAATTATTAACGATACTAAAAACATGATACAATCAAAATTGACTAATGCTAAATAAAATTGTGCAATAATGCACCAACAACCCGTCACAACGGTGACAGAGAGACATTCATGCCTGCTCCAAAAATAATATGTTTTATTCAGCACCAAACCTAGCACATTTTTCAATGGTTTTTACGTGGTAGGGAAAGACAATTTGTACTTCAAACCGCATATATCACATCGGTTGTACGGTTGCAACATGTACACATAGTGGGTGGATAGAAGAAAAGAATCAGTAAAAGTGACACGGATGCTGATTATTTTGAATGCTACATTATTTGACTATTAATATATATTTATTTTTACCGATAATTTAATTCCAAAATATGTGAACACCTTAGTCACATCTATTACTGGCCACTTGTGAAAAGCCATAAGAATAGTTCTAGGATTAGAATGAAAGTTGAGTACAGACCTAAAGTAGGATGGTGCCGCCCCACTGGCACGTGCCGCCTTCCATACTAGCTGTTCATATCGCGAGGCCGGCGCTGGGTAGTCTCCTCTGCTTGCGTCATGCGGATCCAGCAATTCACTTGGCGATGGGTAGTTGCGGAACAAGTGCAGATCTACTGGCTTTCTATCTGCGAGAACTCCAGTGATTATCAACCTAAGCATGACAAAAGTTAGTTACTTTTATATAGGGATGGACGGGATTCAATTTTTAGTTTGAGACAGGATTTTTAATTCCTTTCCAATTTTTGGGAACGGACGGGATGGGATTTTTTCCTGTGCATAAAAAGGGTTTGTTTTAAAAGTCTTGAGTATTGCAGTTACCACAAAAGACAAACAAAATCTATTTTTACCGTTAATAAAACCGTCTATAAAAACAACAAAAAAAATGGGTAAACATTTACAGGTATAGAAACTTGTGACTCGTGGTGACGGTGTGATCGTCGGTATGACTCACGGTCACAGCGCGATCGTCGAAATGACTCTGCAGTTACGGTGCGATCGTTGTAATGACTTGCGGTCCCCGGCGTTATCGTCAAAATGACTCGCGGTCACAGCGCAATTCGCGAAATGACTTCGCCACCTGCATTCGGGGAACTATCGTGAACATCTCTCAGGATATTTATTTATTTATTAAAATACTAGTGATGGTCGGATCCGGATATTGGACAACCGGATCTGCCGGATCCGAGCTGGAACCGGCACCGGATCGGATCCAAAAAATTCCGGATCTTGGGCTGGATCCGGTTTTGATGGATCCGATTTTTTACTAACACAAAGCTGTCTGTATCCATGTACGCTCATCCGGACTAAAGTGGCGGGCGTCCAGTCCGGATTACGAAAAATCCGGACTATCGAGAGTCGAGCAAATACACAGTACTGTATATAGCCGTTTTTTCAATTTTGTTCCAGGTCCACAGTAATAAATAGCCGGGCATATGAACTTCCACCGGTAATAATTTTTACTGCCGAATTCAGTTCCAGGTCCACAGTAATGATAACCGGGAATATGCACTTCAATCAGTAATAATTTTTACCGCCGAATTTAGTTCCAGGTCCACAGAAATGATAACCGGGAATATGCACTTCAACCGGTAATAATGTTTACCGCCGAATTTTGTTCCAGGTCCACAGTAATGATAACCGGGAATATGCACTTCAACCGGTAATAATTTTTACCGCCGAATTTAGTTCCAGGTCCACAGTAATGATAACCGGGAATATGCACTTCAACCGGTAATAATGTTTACCACCGAATTTTGTTCCAGGTCCACAGTAATGATAACCGGGCATATGCACTTCAACCGGTAAAATTTTTACCGCCGAATTTAGTTCCAGGTCCACAGTAATGATAACCGGGCATATGCACTTCAACCGGTAATATTTTTTACCGCCGAATTTAGTTCCAGGTTCACAGTAATGATAACCGGGAACATGCACTTCAACCGGTAATAATGTTTACCGCCGAATTTTGTTCCAGGTCCACAGTAATGATAACTGGGCATATGCACTTCAACCGGTAATATTTTTTACCGCCGAATATTGTTCCTGGTCCACAGTAATGATAGGCGGGCTTATGCATCTTCCACTGGTAATAATTTTTACCGCCGAATTTTCCAGGTCCACAGTAATGATAGCTGGGCAAATGCACTTCCACCGGTAATAATGTTTACCAAACCGGTAATAATAACCGGTAGTAATGTTTACACCGGTAATAATTTTTACCATCGTGTTATCCAGGTGATCGGTCTTGTACATAGATACAGACAGCTTTGTGTTAGTAATAAAATCGGGAAAACATCGGTCTTGTATGCCTGGATCACCCCTTGCTTATACAGGGTGTTCAAAAAAGGTAGGGACATATTTTACCTAGTTATTCCTTGGGTCAAAATAAAGAGAAAATCAGGAGTAACATTTTTTCCAAAATCGATTCCTTAACCAGATATCCGCCATTTTGTATTTTTTACAACATTTTTATTTTTTAATTTTTTCAACCGATCTTTATAAAACTTGGTATGAAGGTTGAGGTAGAACAGACCAATGTTAGAAAAAAAATTCATCTTGATTCAATTAAAAATTTCAAAATGGCGGCCATTTCAGTTTTCTTAACGTAAATGACTCAAAAACGGCTAATGTTGTGAAAAAATGTCAAGAACACTTTTATTTATGATTTTTAATTCCCTATCAAACGATACCAAGTTCAAAAATCGAATAAGAAATAGCTGAAATATTACGATTTTTAGTTGTAAAATGGGGTAGAATAAGGCAGAAGCTAGTCAGGTTTGCCCCATTTTACAACTAAAAATCGTAATATTTCAGCTATTTCTTATTCGATCTTTTTGAACTTGGTATTGTTTAATAGGCAATGCTAAATAAAAGTGTTCTTGGCATTTTTTCATAAAACCAGTAATTTTCGAGTAATTTGAGTTTAAAAGTTTTAAATGGCCGCCATTTTGAAATTTTAAGTTGAATTGAGATGAACTTTTTTTATGACACGGGTCTCGTCTACCATAACAAACATACAAAGTTTCATAAAGATCGGTTAAAAAGATTAAAAGATAAAAATGTTTATGTAAAAAATATAAAATGGCGGATATCTGGTTAACGAAGCGATTTTGGAAAAAATGTTATTCTTGATTTTCTATTTATTTTGACCCAAGGAATCACTAGGTAAAATATGTTCTCACCTTTTTTGAACACCCTGTATATCTATGTTATTCGTTCCAGGTCCACAGTACTGATATCCAGGTATGTGAAACTCTAAAATACCCTTTGTCTGTGTACAAGAAGATTATCTGTCTCCATACAGGGTGAATAAAAAAGTCAAGACTCCCCCATCTAATATTTTTAGAAGTTAGAACACAGTACAGTCTTCTTGTACACAGACACAGGGTATTTTACCTGTAGAACTCCACATACCCGTCTATCAGAACCGTAGACCTGGAACGAATTTAAGGAAGAGATTAACAAGAGGTGATTCACGCATTACTAAATTGGATGCTTCACGCAAAACCCACGATATAGCATACTCAAGATCGAACTATAGTAAAATATACACAGATACCCTTTTGGTGGTCGTGCAAACTTAGGACAAAGTTTCATTTTATGATTTTTTTAATGAGGGATTATGAGCTCAACAGGAGATTACTCTGTATATAAGATGTATTAATCTTTAAACATTACCAGTTGAATTTTAAACAGTATGATTTAAATTGGCATTCTGTTAATTACGTTTTTTTTACCCGCACTTATGGCAGTGTGTATCTGGATCCGGAGCCGAAGATCCGAAGATCCGGATCCGAATTTTTCAAGATCCGGATCCGGATCCGGTACCGACATTTTGTTGGATCCACCCATCACTATAAAATACATCACATAACGCCTAAGGAGTGCCTAAGGAGTGATAGCGGCGTAATCGTCACTCGCGAAGCAGCAAATCGTCGACGATTGAATCAAATCCCGTCCTGAAAAATTCCCGAATCAAATGTAAAACCGACACGAAAATCAGGAATATTTCAGGACCTGTCCATCCCTACATGTATATGTTACACTCAATCTCCGAATTCGGACAATGTCCGAAATTTCTACCCACTCCGCGATGTGGATAGTGTGAAATACCCACGTCGCGGAGTGGGCATTTTATTTCGGACATTGGCCGAAACGAAGTGCCCAGACCGCGTTGTGGGTAAACTGATTTACTCAAACGCCGAAGTCAAAACCTTCTTCGGCGATTGAGCAAATTCAAAATACCCACAACGCGATGTGAGCAAAAGTGATTGCCCACGTCGGGTAGTGGATATTTCTAGTTTGCGCAAACGCCGAATAGCCTGTATAAACTACCGTATACCCAAAAATCTACATAAAATCCACAATCACTAGGTAAAATAAATAACATTTATGTTTTGATTATAATTATTTAATGTATAAAATAGCATTTTAGAAAATAAACAGCAAATCACCGAATAGGAACAAATATAAAAAGGTCCATTACACATACATTGAGAATACGTTATCACACAGTTCTTGTTACATCTTTCTTTTACTTATTGACACATTATTCTAAAGTCACTCTAATTTAGCGAAAGGATTTAAAAATTAAAACTAATCTTACCTGACATCGTGAATTCAATAATGATGGGTTTAACGGCCAGTCCTTTACTTTGAGATTTTTTCTTCAGTGAGCAAGGTTCGAACATATCCAAGTATATTTTAATCACCTCTCTGGTAATGTTGAAAAATTTCTTTTTAAGCTCTACTTCCATAGCTTTCTCTTTCTTAAGACCAACTCGCAAGTCAGCTGAATGAATTGTGTCATACATTTGATCAATGCGACAAAAATATTTTATATCTGTCATTTCACCAGTTGTTTTTTCAACTAACATTTCTTTGTCATCAATGTTTATGACATCGAAGCGGTTGATTCGGCGATAATCTTTCGATGATAATGACTGTCCATCACGAGCGTATCACTACAGGGTAGCAACAGCAAAGAAAACACAATGCACGTGCAGGTCCATCCATCCTAATCGCAAATAGTGCAAATGGTGGGGGTGAAATGTCTGAACGTGAATTCGGCGTTTGCCTAAACTAGAAATACCCACAACGCGACGTGGGCAATACATCTTGCTCACATCGCGTTGTGGGTATTTTGGATTTACTCACTCGCCGAAGAACTTTATGACTTCGGCATTTGAGTAAATCAATTTACCCACAACGCGGTCTGGGCATTTCACTTCGGCCAATGTCCGAATAAAATGCTCACTCCGCGACGTGGGTATTTCACACTATCCACATCGCGGAGTGGGTAGAAATTTCGGACATTGTCCGAATTCGGAGATTGAGTGTAACATATATACTGATCGTTTCACCAACATGATTTAAAATTTTCAAAAATATACAAAAAGGTTTTATGTACAAATGTCAGATTTTGCGAGACTATTTCATTTAAAAATGAAAATATTGAGGATGAATATTAAATAGCTTATGTTCAACCTCTATGGTTAGTTAACCAGTATATTTTTAATTTATTTCACCTGATGTTGTCTTGTATTTTTGTCATTGTAAAAAACAGGCAAGTTTCTTTTGACCCATTTGATTCTTATCAACAAAAAAAATAGAATATGACACAGCCGAATGGAGAACTCATATAGCTTTGAGAGAAAAACAGGGGAGTTAATTTAGTAATTACAATATTGGTTAGTGGTTACTTATATACGTATTCACTCCTAAATGCTTACTTGGGATGTTCAGTGTCAGCCATGACAGTCTCTGTGCCAAGTGCCTGCTGCAGCATTGTCTCCAGGGGCTCACTGGGGTATGGCTTGGGTCCTACGAATGCGTACTCCTTCATGCGGAAATACAAGCACAAACAGTCCTTGAGTGACTTGCCTGCAAACACGGCCACTGTTAGTGGTTGGGTATGAGAACTCAACAAGTAATCTCTAAGTTGTTGGTTTGATCTTCAGTTTTTAAAGTAGACTAGGCTCAGCTGTCTTACATCGTTGTATTTTTTAACATCAGTATAGTATTTTTCCAGTTTTTTTTTTTTTCATCTATAGCCTATTTTGTTTTATAAACTATGCATGCAGTCTATACTCTATGTACTCCATAGAAAATAAATAAAACAATAATTTCACAGCAGTTTGGTTGTAGAAATTACATGTCTAGAACTTTTTAATTTGCAAAAATATTTTGAATATTTTGCCAATTTTGTATGGTTGTTAACATAAAAAGAGTACCTATTAGGTTTTGGTTTTAATAAATTTGATGTAGTGTGAATTTATGAAAATACTGTCACGTATATAATCCATCATCACAGCAAAATCCTGAACATCTCCAGCAATCTTGTAGACATCATCATCTTTATTTATTAAGATGATTATGTGTTATTTTAAAGTGAGCGATGCAAATGAAAAACTATAAACATGATGAATCACGACATCAACAGAATTGTTCAATGGGCAGAAAAGAACGGACTTAGACTCAATCCTGACAAAACAAAGCCAATCATCATAGGTCACTCACGGTTACTCAACAAAGTGGACTTAGACATTTTACCAAAAATCACTGTAAACGGAACCACTTTGCAATACCAGGACAAAGTTAAAAGTCTTGGTTTGACTCTAAACCGCACATTGGACTGGACTGACGCGGTGGTAAGCACTTGTCAAAGAGTGTTTGCCGCTGTTCACACACTGAAGAAGATGCAACGACTTCTACCTTTTCACATTACACTCTTACTGGTCAAATCACTCGTGTTTCCACACTTCAACTACTGCAACACCGTGGTTAATTATATGACTGTGGCTTTGGCAACAAAATTGCAACGTGTACAAAATTATTGTGTTCGATTCTTGTTCAATCTTAGGCGTGATGACCATGTCACACCCTATTACATTAATGAATCAATTTTGAAATTAGAGGACGTCAGAAAAATACGAATACTTTCCATTACTCATTCAGTCATCAATCTTGGAATTCCAAATTATCTTGCAAATAATTTTAGATTTTTGAATGGAAGAGGCGCAAGAGATACCCGCTCTGGCTCGTCCACGCTTCGCATTCCTCATCATAGAACAACTGTTTATAATAAATCATTTTTAGTAACAGCCTGCTGCCTATGGAACTCCATACCTCTGTCCATCAAATCTATAGAAAACCGATCCCGACTGATGGTGGCGCTGAAAGAATATTACCTTGACCGGATGGCCGTGGCTTGGCGGGATGGCGTGTGTTAGGCCTAGATGCAGCAGAGGGTGTATGTGTGTGTGACTGTATGTTAGGGAAGATGAATAGATTTATGCTATTTTATTACTAGCTATGTTACAAACTTTATTGTATTTTTTGTTATTATTTTGTTGTTATTATTAGTTTTTTAGAGGTTAACTGTAAGAAAGGACCATGTGGTCCTAAGTTCGCCTCAATAAAGAAGCATTTTCATTTCATTTCATCTTTCCCGCAATCGTGGCAAAATAATATGTCTTTCACAATGGCAAAGAAATCATCATTGTATCCATCGTTAGAGCAAAACTATGAAATATTTGCCTCAATCACTAAGACATCTTCGTCGACTTCCACAGTCAGGGCAAAATATTGACTATCCCCCATGATAGTGAAGACATCATCCTCTTCCCCTGCGATTACGGCAAAATCCTGACTCTGTACCACAGTCTTGTTGACATTAACAATTATCATTATCATTGTTCAACGTGATCACTGCAAAGTCACGAATATTTTCTGCAGTCTTGTTTGTTGACATGAACATCATCTTCAACGTGTTAACATTGTCTGCCATGATCACAGCAAAATCGTAACATTTTAGAGAAGACATCATCATCGTCACCTGTAATTGGGACAAAATCTTGTATTTTTCCCGCGATTGCAAAGACTTAGTAATCGTGTCATGCGTTCGTGGCACAATGATTGTGAAAAAACAGATCAAATAAAACCTACATTTTCCATCAATCCTAATTCTCGTATTTTTTTACTGGTAAAAACGACAACCCACTCTAAAAACTGTCCCATACAACTTACTAACCTGCAGCAAGTGCTAGGGCTAGAATGGCACCAGTAGAGGTACCAGCAATCCAGTCGAAGGAGTGTATGATGGGTTGCTGCACTCTAGCCTCCACATGTAGCAGTATAGTGACCAGCACCAGGCCTCTAATCCCTCCTCCGTCCAGACACAACACTCGCCCACCCACAGTGTCTCTACTCCCTCCTCCACCTGCACTACCTTGCTGGAAACACTTCATAATGGCTCGTACCTGTGAGACAAGAGGTAAGTTCATGTTCTGTAAATAATAAATACAGTTTTATTGCGTAACGTTGTGCTTGTTAAAAGATTTTCGTCAACAAAATTATTCTAGTTGGTTATGCACAGTTAATTGGCTTGGACCCTGTCTGACTTCATAAGTATTGATAAAACTATTGATTGGTTAGGTTAAGCTGAAATGAACAAAACAGAATACTTTATTCCACCCAAGAATCACACCTAATTTTAATAAGGTAATAAATTGAAAGAATAACAAACAATTACTACAGCTGAGGTATTTAAAACTTTAGTTATATGGAAAGTTACCTTTAGAAACGAGTTACGACCTTAAAGGGCAATTTATGAAATAATGGATAGTTTTGCGCAAGGTTTCTCGTCACGACGAACATTTTATGTATATGGTTTATGGGGGTGTGACTTGTAGTTTTCTCAAAAGTTCATGGGTACTTTGGGATTTATATATGTACTAGCTGGCCGAACACACGTCGTCCTGTCCTAATGTAGTTTTATGTAAAATGCTCGTTCATTTTCAAGATGAGCTCGTTCGCATGGCTCAGTCACGTCCTGGTTGAAGTTCGTTCGCTATGCTCACTCACCTTTAGGTTGAAGTTCGTTCGCTACGCTCACTCACCTTTTGGTTGCAAATTAGCTTTTGTCATAAATTTAAGAAATTTATAGTGCTGCACCCTCTTGGTAAACCTATTAACTTTTAATGCTATTTAACATCACAGAATCAAATTGTTTAGTTGAACCAGCTGTTAAGATTCTTTAATTCCATTTAAATATGAGTACTCATAAGGTTAACATGGGAAATTCCAGAGCCACTGGGGCGGAGCCCTTTTGACGGATCTGCACCAAACTTCACACAAACCATCCTTGAATAATGCTTAGTAATGCCTGAAAGTTTCATTACAATCTGTCAAGCAGTTTCGGAGTCCATAAAGGACAAACAAACAAACATACATACATTGGATTTTATTTATACAGGGTGGTAAAAAAGTCCCTGGACAGTTAAACATTTTAAAAGATAATGTAGATATAGCTACAATACTTGGTACAAAGTTACGAGGCATAAAACTCTATTTTAACACATATTCAGTGATCCAATAACTCTTCAGGGGGACGGCCCACAAGGAGTCGGAAGAAAATCTTAAATGGAAGCATAGGTCAATATGCACATCAAATTAAAGGTCTTTTTTAGTAGAATACAATGCCGCAAACCGCACTTCAAAAGGTTGATCCTGCGCAAAATGGCAGATGTTCAAAGATTTCTTGAATCCGCCATTTTGAATCTTTGAACGACTGCCATTTTTTACCCAGGCATTCTTTTGAGCTTGAATTTACGGCATCGTAATCTACTAGTGAAGACCTTTAATTTGATGTGCATATCGACCTATGCTTACGTTAAAAATTTTCTTCCGATTCCTAGGGCTGTGCCCCTTGAGGAGTAAGCGTATAATAGCAATGAAAATTAAATGAATCTTTGAACAACTGTCATTTTGCGCAGGATCAACCTTTTGAAGTGCGGTTTGCGGCATTGTATTCTACTAAAAAAGACCTTTAATTTGATGTGCATATTGACCTATGCTTCCATTTAAGATTTTCTTCCGACTCCTTGTGGGCCGTCCCCCTGAAGAGTTATTGGATCACTGAATATGTGTTAAAATAGAGTTTTATGCCTCGTAACTTTGTACCAAGTATTGTAGCTATATCTACATTATCTTTTAAAATGTTTAACTGTCCAGGGACTTTTTTACCACCCTGTATAGAAGATTTGACATTTAAGGTTGGATGAATCCGGTAGTGTTGCCACACGGAGCAATTCAAGTAACTAATTCTATGTAAAGGCTCAATTAAACAGGGCATGTTTTAAAACTACTAGCTGGCTTTTTTTGCCTGCAGCCTTCAAATTAGTCTACTTGCAGCTCTCAATCGATAACAGCAAAAAATCTGTGGAAAAAAGTGGACTTACACACCACCCACTGGATTTTGAGTGAAATTGTAAAACTATCCAAGTGTCATTGTTGCTTCTGCAAAAGCAACAAGTAGGATTAGTCTAAGTGATGTGAAGGAATTGGTTGACTGTGGGACTCGCAGGTTTGCTTTTAATTCTCTAGTAAATAACCTGTAAACTTTCCCTGTGTAATTCTATGTAAGTGGCTACCTGAGCACAGGGTGGGTCTGGAGGTGGTATGCCATCCCTGGTACCATTTGGCAAACATCCATCTGTACAACCGTGTATGTCAGGTACACACCTCGGTGCTCCTACAGCATGTAGTAGAAACAGCACCTGCACAAGTAGTTGTAAACTAAACAGGATGTCTTCTCCATCTTGGACTTGGAATTGGATGAATCACTTACTATGTTTATTAAACTGTAATGATTGGAAAACACTGTTCTGGATTGCACCAGGATATCTCCAAGAGAGTACAGTAGAAATATTATCGCTAACTTTTTATTACTGTCAACTTCCTACAATTTTTAGTATCACTGTCAATTACAAAATCAATTGATTGAAATATTCAAGAAAGAGATTTTAAATTTTCTTACAGATGAAGATTATTATTGTATATTTGATTTTCAAAAAGACGTGCTGTACTGATGTCATTAATTTTTATTTTTTACATCAAAATGTTATAAAAATTCATAATAGTAGGCTACATTTTTAAAGTATCATACCTTGTTACTGACTTCGTCTGTTTCTTGAGCAGCAAAGTGTCTGACTGTGTGGCCTTCATTGTTCCTATAACAGACAGTAATTATGCTAATTTCATGATAAGTTTATTTTAAAATTACAAAACCTTTTTTTTAAATTCCCACCTAAATTTTGTGTGTAATAGCACAAGCAGGCTTGGACATTGTATTCAGTTGTTCTGGTTTGTTGTTGCTCATACTAATTTTAATTTTACCCCTTGCTTGCAGAAAGGCATGTAAACTATTACACATATGGTACAAGAGCTTCTGTACAAATGATGAGAACAGAAACATGGCTACGACTACAGTACTATTTTCCCAGAAACTAAAACATGACTTTGGGAAATCTGGATTGGCTGTCCGCAAAATGAAATTCCAATGTGACAACTACTTTTCCATATTTATTGTCAGTGGGACACCGGAGCTGTTTGATCTAACATACCAGAATTTCTGTAATCATCAGAGCTCTGACTCATCCTGTAGCCCTACAGTAGATCCGGGTTTCGATTTGACAATTTAATAAAGATGGAAAGATGAATAAATTTTTTAGCCCTGATGGATATGACTATGGCTTAACAAGAGCCAAAACATGGGTCATCCACTATACAGGACAAATTAGAGCTGTGGCGGAAATTCTGGTATGTATACTTTTATGTTAGGATCTATTTTTGTTATGCAACATTAGGATCACATATGTTGGCACTAGCCCTTTGGTCATCCTTAGGCCTTTACCTTACCCTCTACAAATAACATGAAAGGTAATTGGAAAGATCAGATTAGTTTAGTACTGTTCATACAACTACACATCTTGGATATTGATGGGGCTAGTTGTTCATCACACATGGCTGTATATGGAACACCAAGATTATTTTCTGCTACATGCTAACATCTGGTACCATCTATCCTCCCCATCAATCTTGCTAAATTCTTCTACAGTCAATTAAACCATCTTCAACTAACTAGCTCCTTTTGAAAAGGTAAACTTACATGGATGAAAGATCGGCACCAAACACAATGAGTGCTTGAATAACAGGGATATTATTGGCTTTAACAGCAAAATGTAATGCAGTGTTGCCATCTACATCTCCTATGTCTGGGTCTGCGTGTCTACTCAGTAGTGCCACAACACAATCCAGCCTGTTTCTCATCACCTTAACATTAAAAAAAGATTATGTTAAAACTGATTTTAAATTAAATCTAAAAATAAATATTGAACTAGTTGCTCTGCCCGTGCTTCGCTACGGGGTGAAAATGCAGTAAAGAATAATTTGGTTTTACTTTAAGATACTATAATATACTGTAAGAAACAGTTACAACACACTTACCAGGAAACATATAGGCAAAGACACAATCATGCTTATTAATTATTTAAATGAATATCTCTTAATGTATTACAGTACCATCATTTTATTAAGTGACTTATGTTAGGGGTCTGCGGTACAGAAAATTTAAGGTCGGTATGGTTCGGTACGGTACGATATTTTGTACCTCGGTTCTCGGTACAAAATCGGTACGGTACACGGCTACCCGTATTTTCGCGTTTTTCTGCTCAGAACTGTATTTAAACCATTATTTTTAACTTTAATACATTGACATTACTATGAAAATTGATAGTATCCTACATTCATGGTATTCTAACAACAATTACTGTACCACACATTATTAAAACAAAACCTTTTACTACTACGAGGATTGTGTCAAGAAAAATCACAGTTAAGATAAAGGCTTTACCTATTTTACTCTGAGATACTTTGAATAGCCATGATAAAAGTGGTTTTAAAAATAGGATAAGTTTTTAGGAATAAACATGTTTGAAACTAGGGATGGTCAAGTCTCGAAATTTCGGGAAATTTTAAATCTCGTTACACGAGATGAGATTTCTTTTTGACCGAGATTTTTATCAAGACGAGAATAAAAAAAAAAATTAAAAAATTAAAAACGCCTGCAGAACGTCAATGCAATACCCGCAATACAGGCGCGTGTTGTAGTTGTGTTTCCTTTGCGAAGGTGTTCTTATTGAATTAATTCTTTAAATGTAAATATTACTTTAATTATTTTAATAATATTACTTTAACAACATTTGAGAAGTTTTGTTAAGTGTAAGCAGTGTGAGGAATGTTTTGTTACTATAAAAAGTCAAAATAAGTACCTAACTATTTTATAAAAATTAATATTGCTTTTATTTTATGATTTATTTTATTTTAGGATAAGTTGAACTCTATCCTAACTGATATCACTATGTTTCCTAATCGTAGGCATTTTTAATAAGTTAGGTGTGATTAATAAAAAAATGTTATGCTGATGTTTTTTTAGGATAAGTTGAACTCTATCCTAACTGATATCACTATGTTTCCTAATCGTAGGCATTTTTAATAAGTTAGGCGTGATTAATAAAAAAATGTTATGCTGATGTTTTTTAATAAAAGATTGTAAATATTCTTGCCTATTATCATTATTTTTGTATTTAAACAGTCATCTAACAATGTTACAAAATCAGGTAAAAATTTTGAACGTGCATTTCCCGTTGTGTATGAGAAGGGAAATCCCGTCTCGATCTCGTCTCGAAATTTTATGAGAAATAAAAAATCCCGTCTCGTCTCGTCTCGAACTAAAAATCCAATCTCGTCCATCCCTATTTGAAACATTTATTGGCAAGATAATTTCACACAACTGGTAAATTATTTCCAACCAACACAATGTCTAGTTGTTTTTTTAGATTTTTAAAACATATAAAAGCATTCAGTACAAAGACAGTGTAGTTGCCAGCTGTTCACAGAAGACGACAACGAACAACTGGAGGATATGATGAAGTAATGGTAAAGAGCATCTTTTTTATCAGCTTCAAAACTAGTTATAAAGATGGATACAACTCTTGCAAACTTTTTTTCTGAAACTAAAATTTGGATTATCACAGAGTAAGATTATTGTTTTTCATTTCCAAAGTTAACATCCACAATATCAATCATTAGTTTATCTCAGGCTCATTCCAATTTTCTTAGTATATTTTAAAGCTCTTCCAAAGAATCAAAAAGACCCAGGCCTAGAACTAATTATTTAGGAGGGCCTATATATAAATTGATTAGGTTACAATGAGGGTAGCAAAATCACTATCTAATTCATAATATTTAGATTGCATAAAGTACCTTCAACACAATAAAAAATACAGGAAACTAAAAACATTTAAGCCTTAAACAGCTTGATCTAACTATAAGACAAGGTACAGAACATGCAATGACATAATTTGTGACCGAGTAGGCTTGAATAACGAAAAGAAAATTATGCAAACAACAACTATGCTTGTGGTTTTGTCAATAGAAAGATAAAATATCTATAACAAATATTTTAACCTATAAAATAAGATTGTAGATTAGTTACAAGTTTAATATGTAGCCATAAACAGTTTTATGGCAGTAGGCAATGGCCAGCGGCGAAAATACTGACTGAGTTAGAGATAACATTTAACAGTCATCATAAAACTATTATTTTTATGATAAAATAGAATTGGGGGAAGTCGTAAAGAAATTAAAGTGATAAAACTCAACAGTTCTTGGAAGTACTTGAATACAACAATAACAATTATTGTTGTGATAAAATGTTAATGGATTTGGGACTGCTAATGTTTTATTGCATCACCACCCTAGTAATAAATTATGAAGATCGGAAACAGACATCTGATAAGACTTTTATGTGCTCGGAACCAACTGTCGTTGACTACGATAGTAAACTGAAAGTAATTTATTATTATAATAGGCTGTACTGTACCGTACCGACTTTTTCGGTACACCCCTAGTATATGTGTATATCATTTAAAATATATGCAAAAGTATAATTTCATTGACCACATGGCACCAAGAAACAATTTTCCTTGTAAACAAATTAAATTAAATAGCATAACAGCATTTCTGACACCAGCTGGAGTTTTATAACAATGTTTGTTTCCCATGTTAATCTTATGGAGAAATACAAAACTTTAAAGGGCCCCAGGGCCACACTCTCTAATTATTTCCCTAAAGAGAAAGTTTCCTGCACAACTTCACGTTACGCTCTTTCCAATGACACCAAAAACATGTCAATCGGTTCAGTAGTTTCGGAGGAGTAATTGTCACAAAAAAACCTGCTTGCGTATTAAATAAGTACTAATAGATTCTAAAAAATATTTTGATATTAGTGATTTTCTTAAATCCTAGAAATACTCTCTTTAAAAATAGAACCTGAACTGTTATCTTGAGCTGAAAAAAATGTGTGCCTTTGACAAAATATAAAACCAATGGTGATAGATAAGGGGTAAGAAACAAAAGCATACAACCCCTTTTTAAACAATCAATTATGTGGTATTACGTTTACCTCATGGTTACCATATTTTTTTACCACAATTTGTTGAACACTACATTTTTACTATAATTAAACACTCTTAGGAGCTTCATACCATGACATGTAGTGCTGTTCGCTTGTCAAAATTAAGGACGTTGAGGTCACAGTTGCGATCTACCAGCTGCTCAATAACTTCACGAGAAGATGCCCAGTGTAAAGGGGTCCCGCCAAACTTCATATCCTGAAAACAGACAAAAAGTTGCTTAAGTTGTTAAAAGACTAGTGTACCTGTTGCTCGAATTCGAGCAATTGTGAAGCATTACAGGCGTTATTTTAAAACGAATAACAGTCATAATTTCCGATGACTTTTTAAGAGTCGACTCAAAGATTATGGAAATACTCAAGATGTACACAGCAGTTAGATATAATCAAAAATGTTTGTAAATATCTTATCTTTTTTCAAAAGCTGACCTTGTTTTTTAGTGTTTTGTACAAATTTTCCCCACTCATAGCCGCATTAGGTTCTCTATAATAACGATTATAAATGAAAAAAAAACAAACATTATTTCTATTTCTTCTACTGTACTTGGTTGTGTTCTATGACTTTCCTGTTTCCATTGTTTGCAAATCGGCTCTTTCAATTATTGCTCAAGAAATGTAGCACAGTGTTAATTCAGTTTTATTTTTAGTATAACAAATCGTCCAGTATTTCTCACTTTTTTCCATTGTAATTTTAAAAATTACACCAACCAAGTATCGTCTACGTGTAATCTCCAAGAAGTGGTAAAAAAGGCAGAAATCAAACCCAAACAATAGATATAAGTTAACTCCAAAGAAATAATTTTAAGAGTTACTGTGATAGTACCTGGGGACCGAGCTTTGCTCGGGGAAAATCATTAGTCCACTCTGAAAGCAGTCCAAGTACTGTATTGGAGACACATAGATCCATTCCCAAACTCCACACGGCTCGCCTTTACTACGTCCTACACCATTTCCTACGTCATGGACCTGTGTTCCCTCCATTTCCATAGCACTTTAGGATTGTAGATACCTTAATCTAATCGTTATTAACAGTTCCCACACTCCGGACAGCTCGTCTTTACTACGTCCTACACCATTTCCTACGTCATTGACCTGTTTCCCTCCCTTCCCATAGCATTTCAGAATTGCAAATACCTTAATCTAATCGTCATAAACAGTTCCCACACTACGGACTACTCGCCTTGACTACTTCCTTCGCCACTTCCTACGTCGCGGACCTGTTTTCCTCCCTTCCCATAGCATTTTAGGATTATAGATACCTTAATCTAATCGTCATAAACAGTTCCCACACTCCGGACAGCTCGCCTTTGACTACATCCTTCACCACTTCCTACGTCGCGGACCTGTTTTCCTCCCTTCCCATAGCATTTTAGGATTGTAGAAACCTTAATCTAATCGTCATAAACAGTTCCCACACTCCGGACTACTCGCCTTGACTACTTCCTTCACCACTTCCTACGTCGCGGACCTGTTTTCCTCCCTTTCCATAGCATTTTTGGATTGCAAATACCTTAATCCAATCATCATAAACAGTTCCCACGCTCCAGACAGCTCACCTTGACTACATCCTTCACCACTTCCTTCGTCACGGACCTGTTTCCCTCCCTTCCCATAGCATTTAAGGATTGCCCATACCCTTATCTAATCGTCATAAACAGTTCCCACGCTCCGGACTACTCGCCTTAACTACTTCCTTCACCACTTCCTACGTCGCGGACCTGTTTTCCTCCCTTCCCATAGCATTTTAGGACTGTAGAAACCTTAATCTAATCGTCATAAACAGTTACCACACTCCGGACAGCTCGCCTTGACTACTTCCTTCACCACTTCCTACGTCACGGACCTGTTTCCCTCCCTTCCCATAGCATTTTAGGATTGCCCATACCTTTATCTAATCGTTATAAACAGTTCCCACACTCCGGACAGCTTGCCTTGACTACTTCCTTAACACCTTCCTACGTCGCGGACCTGTTTTCCTTCCTTCCCATAGCATTTTAGAATTGCAGATACCTTAATCTAATCGTCATAAACAGTTCCCACACTCCGGACTACTCGCCTTGACTACTTCCTTCACCACTTCCTACGTCGCGGACCTGTTTCCCTCCCTTCCCATAGCATTTTAGGATCGCTGATACCCTGATCTTATCGTAATAAACAGTCCCCACACTCCGGACTGCTCGCCTTTACTACTTCCTTCATCACATCCTACGTCACGGACCTGTTTCCCTCCCTTCCCATAGCATTTTAGGATTGCCCATACCCTTATCCAATCATCATAAACAGTTCCCACACTCCGGACAGCTCGCCTTGACCACTTCCTTAACACCTTCCTTCGTCACGGACCTGTTTCCCTCCCTTCCCATAGCATTTTAGGATTGCCCACACCCTTACCTAATCGTCATGAACAGTTCCCACGCTCCGGACTACTCGCCTTGACTACTTCCTTCACCACTTCCTACGTCACGGACCTGTTTCCCTCCCTTCCCATAGCATTTTAGGATTGCCCATACCCTTATCTAATCGGCATAAACAGTTCCCACACTCCGGACAGCTCGCCTTGACTACTTCCTTCACCACTTCCTACGTCACGGACCTGTTTCCCTCCCTTCCCATAGCATTTTAGGATTGCCCATACCCTTATCTAATCGTCATAAACAGATCCCAGACTTATCACTGCTACCCTTGACTACAATGTATCGAGTAATCTTCAGTATAATCTTTGCTAAATGATGTTTTTCCTTTTGTACTGTATTTGTAATTTGCTAGTATACTGTGGGTAGTTGGCTTATTATGAACACATGCTACAACTTCAAGTTTTTTGTTTACTTTTTCCTTGTTATTTAATCCAGCCAACAAGGTTACCTAGCAACCCATAAGACTAATGTTAAAAAAATGTGATTTTCAGTTTCATTTTTCTACGTAATTAGATTTTTGTTGGCAGTTCTAACTGCAGTAAACTCGTTTTTAGGCCAGAATTAAACTATTTACAACATTTGAAGAAAATCGTCGGAACCGTTTTCGAGATCTTTGTGCAAGCAAGCATACATACATACATACATACATACATACAAGCAAACATTGCTCGTATTAGAGTATAGGATTAGGATTTTCCACTGATTTGGTAATAGAACATTATATTGCAAAACATGGCACGATTCAGAAGAAAATCGATTTTAAAATCAGAACTTAATTTTGACAAATTTAGCAAATCACAATTTAAATATTAACAGCTGTTTCATTCAAAAGTAGTGTAAATGTATGCATATGGTCGTAATGTAAACACATCTGAAGAGGGAACATTAAAGACCTCTGGGGCAGAGCCCCAAGGGAATTTACCTTGTTTCTCTTTTGATGGCTCATCTACACACTAAGACCTCTCTTTAGAGACCCCTACCAAGTTTCTACGCCCAGCCTTTCTCTGTAATTAGCTGTGACAAAACCCCGTTTTTCCTCCATAAGAATAACATGGGATGGGAATTTAAAGACAACTGGGGCAGAGCCCCAAAGGAATTTACCACGTTTCTCTTTTGATGGCTCATCTACAGACCAAGACCTTTCTTTAGAGACCCCTACCGAGTTTCTACACCCAGCCGTTCTCTCAAATTAGCTGTCACAAAGAAAAACAGTTTCAAATTAATATATAGATTTTTAAAATTTTCACACCTAGAATTATAGCACACATATTTAAAAAGATGTTTAAACCGCTGCTAGTGACTGAAGGAAAGTGAATGTTAAACACTGGTATTCTAAAGTATGTAGTTTTTTAGCTATATTAGTATGCACAATAAACATCCCAATAAAATATAATGGTTATGTAGGCCTATTATAATAATTTGCACAAACCAGCTTGTTTTCTGGTTTTCAAAGCTCTATTTTTACTTCTTATTTTGTAAAGAAGGTGGTAGACATCACTAGCCTAATTTGAACAATTAGATTTTCAAACTATTATACACTTAAGTACCTAAATCAATCAAACTCATAGGTGTATTAGTCTAAACATCTCTCAACTAGGGTTGGACGAGTCCTGAAATTTCGGGAAATTTTTGGAAAAAAATATTCCTGATTTTCAGGACAGGATTACATTTTTACATTGTATTTGATTCGGCAATTTTTCGGGACGGGATTTGATCCGATCGTCGGATATTTTGCCGCTTTGTGAGTGACGATGACGCAGCTATCGCAAGAGATGTTCACCATAGTTCCGCGAACACAGGAGGCAAAGTTATTTCAACAATAGCGCCGTGACCGTGAGTCACAAGTTTCTATACCTGTAAATTTTTCCCATTTTTTTTATAGATCAGTGCCACAAACGGTAAAAACTGATTATGTTTGTCTATTTTGGTAACTGCAATACTCAAGATTTCCTTTTTATGCACAGAAAGAAATCACGTCCCGCAAATCGGGAAGGAATAAAAATCTGTCCATCCCTACTCATAACTAAATTAGTCTAAACAAAATATATCACAATCACACACAATTTATTTCATTATCCTCTAAAACATGCTGACACCGTTATAAAATTTATTACAATGTTAAAACTTTGTTTAAAATTTACATTTTTTTAATGTATAAAAATTAGAACAAACCTCCATACTTTTTGAATTTTCTATAACGAATCATACTGATTACAAAGATTATTAGCATCTGCCACTGCCAGAAGGCTAAATTGTTTTTCAAGAAATTGGAATGACTAGTGCACCTGTTGTTCGAATTCGAGCGATTGCAAAGTATTGCAGGCGTTATATTAAAACTAATAACAGTCACAATTTCCAATGACTTAAAAGAGTCAACTCAAATTGATTATGGGATAATGTAATCAATCACTCCACTCCAGTTATTGAAACTGGAAATGAACTCATTCTGAAAACGAACGCTTACTCCACTCGTTATCGAAAATGAAATGACAACGAACTCACTCTGAAAATGAAAGCTCTTGTGTGTATCATGTGTTTACTATGAACAGCTGTTTTAGTATGCAATTAAAACGAATTATTCGTCCGTTTAAGTAAGCAAAATCTTTTCTTCATAAGAAATACATTGGGATCTTGATGGCCTGTGGGGCAAAGCCCGAGGACTTACATTACAGGAATTGATGAAAGGGGGCGTCTACACAAACAATACTTAATTTTGACACCTCGTTTGTAAAAATCCGTCCATTATTAACGAAGGAGTACAGTAGTGTTTCGTAGAAATTGCCTTCACGTATTATATATAAGGATTATTAGACTACAGTTTTATGTAAGTTAGCCGTGAAATAAATTTTATGTATATAGTTGTGAACTTAAATTTATTTCTATAAAATTTATTTCCATAAAATTTTATTTATTAATGCAAACAATTTGTGCTTGGTAAATTTGTGTAAAATATAAAATTGTAAACTTAATGATATATTCATATTAATAGCCTGATTTACTAACAACCATTAATGTGTATTGCTTAAAGGTGTGTAGTTCAAGGCAAATAGGCAATTCACATAAATTCTCCCCAAATTCCTTTTGGCTGATGTAACAAAGACCGGTACACAAAGATTTTGTTGGTTTTTTTTTTAGAACAAATTACTTTTAAAATGGGTCTGATGCTTACTTAAATTAAATGAAAGTGTTTCTAACTAAAACCTTTGATAGGTGTATAAAAAACTTAAATTTCAAACTCTTGAGACAATGGCAGACATACTTTTTTTAGACATACCTATAATGTTCCTACAAAACCATAGTGGTAGACACAAAAGACAGAACACAGTTATTTCCACATATCTCTAGTTCACAACTGTTGTGTTTTCTACAACTAGACAAAATCAGCAGACTATGTCACCCCTCCTCCAACCGACAAGCTGAAAGATTTGTTAAAACCATCTGCTGATCAAAATCGGTAATACAAATCAACCTCCCTGAACAAATAGGGAATCTATTGGTCAATTGAAATTGATCGATTGTATACATAGCCTAGTTATTTAACTACCCAACATAAAAAGATAAATAATTTCTTAAATTTCTCTATCCCATACTCGGAGATGGTCATAAACATTTTCACGATATAGCACGAAGCACAAGTAGTTTGACAGTTTCATTTTAGGTAGTGACCAAGGTTATTTTACATGCAGATCATGGTGTCTTTGTATGTCTTTGATTTGTATTAGGCCGGCCACACACAGAACCGGGCGGGGCGGGGTGCGACAGGGCATTTTGCCCCGGGGCGTCTTGTGCGACGGGAATTGCACAGGCTCTTATGGAGCGCCACACACAGGACCGAGCGAGGCAGGGCACATCAAAAAGACGCCCCGGGGCAAAATGTGAAGCTCTCCAAAATTATGCCCCGAAGCAAGTCGATGCCAAGCAGAACTTTCTGCGCATCCGCGGTCATGTGATTTATTCCCTTTCGGGCAAATTTTGATAAGGATTATTTCACAACCGATAAAATTTACATATAAGACTGTACAGTAACAATTTATACACACCCTTTGATACGACTATACAAGTCGTAGTGAAGTAGTGATATTGCTAAAGTGGTTGAATAAATAATAATTTATCTTGGTATTGATAACTGAGGAAATAGAGGGCCAACGTTCATATCTTAAGGGTTTCAAAAAACACTCTTCTGGAGGTATGGCTGTTTGAATTTTGTTTTCTATTCTGCTCCCAAGTATAAAGTCCAATTTAAAAGTTTGCTAAATCGGCTCAAGGCTCAGAAATAAAAAATCCTATATTAATTTTCAGGTTTTCTGTGTGTGACAGCAGCAGGACAGGGCAAATCAGGCGTCTCGTCGTGCCCTGTGCGCCCCGACCCGCCTGGTTCTGTGTGTGGCCGGCCTTACCGATTGCCATTTTGATAGACATTTATAACAGATTACCAAGGGCAACGGCAAACCCTGGCAGTCCGATCCGCCAGCAAAGTTTCCTCAACCTTCACTGTCTCGATGGAAACAGATGGACGCTCACTGGCAGCCTCATCGCAGGGCTATAGGTGTGGGCTGGCTCACTCCTTTGATGTTAGCGGTCGCCCCCTGATCCTACTTCCCCTCCCCCGCCACTCCTCAGTGACGTAGCGGAGATACATCGGCGCGAGGCGCGACGGTAGCCTAGCACGGCAGTGCATATGTCGACCGGCATCTACGCGCATATTAATAATTGTGTTTATAATAATGTAGTTTTACAGTGTGATTTTTAAAGCGGGTTTCGTAAACCCTCCAACTTGCAATCGGCGAACTCTGTAGTGGCAAGGCATTTTTGGCGACTTTGCAGTCATATTTTCGAAAATTCATATAAACTAAACCAACAGATCAAACCTATGAACCGTATTTATTATTTCCAACTTGAAGTGTTTGTAATGAAATGAAGAATTTGAAAATAGCAACAAAATAAATATTTAAAATATTGTAGAAAATATTGTCAGTAGGTAGAAAAATTGCTGCATGAACCAAAAATGTTTCATAAGATATACAAATTGTTTGGAATGTATTTCCCTACATGGAAATATAAACAGATTCCAATTACCATTTATACAAAGTTATGGCCCAAAAACAATAAAATGACAAGTTTCACGATTTTGTACAACAAATTTCAAATAAAAACCAAATAAATGTATTATCAAGAGATAAAGTAAAAATAAACATTTTAGGCAATAATATTGGAGATCAAATGAAGTAAGAATTGTTTATGTATACTGATCATTTCAATAGATGTTTATGACTTTTAATAAATGTTTATATTTGTCTAGAAAAACATTTTGTTATTCACACGTATATATTATTTTTAAAACCCCACAAACCAACTATATAAAATGAAAGTAAACTTATTCCTCTACATAAATATACAAAGTTATAAAGGCAAATATACAAAATAAATATTTTATAGTTTTTTCTATAAAATGCTGCTGTACCTTTTTCATTTAGCGATTAAATCGTTTGTTAATTATGACGAAATGTTTCAAAAACGGGATAAATGTAATGTCCCAGACCTCAAATTAAGAAAGTATATCCACATAAAACAGTTTATAAACTAAATAAGTACAATTTTTACAACTAATAAATATGATTAAAGTGATAAAGTCAAACCCGCGATATTCGTTGTTGGTAAACAGTCAATGAAGTTCACAAAACTGGCCAAAAAATAGTGTCTCAAGTTTCTAAAAGTAATGTCACATTACAGTCGAGGCACAATAAATAATATCGTAACGAAACATTTACAACTTATAATCACGATGTAAACTGATAAAGTAAAATCACACCAAAACTCGACTTGTTAGTTATTGGTCAACAGAGATTGAGATTAGTTAGTCAGGCAACTTAATGTATTTTTGCAACTATATGTTATTTTAATGTATTGAAATATGTAGGGCCTATAATAAAATGTAATTGATTAATTGAAATTCTTTTCCTTCCTGTAAAAGTTTCAAAATACTAAGTATAGGTAATGTATTTTTATACAACCTCAAAGTATTTTATATAACCTCAATGAATCCCAAAAGGTATGAATAAGTAATAAATAAATACAATTAATAATCCATACATTAAGATACATTCGAGCAATACGGACACAGATATTACACAGTAACTTAATACATCGGATCAATAACTACAGTATTCTTAGCCATCGCTTTACATTCCACTCCCATCCTTAAATGTCTACTAAAGTTAATTTTTTACTTATTAAAATTGATGTTATATGTAATCCTATTTGAAAATCAATTACTTTTATAAAATACATTAATACATAATAAAAAATGTCCAACGTAGAGCTTAATAAACGCAAAATGTGCGGTAATACCAGAGCTCACACAGGCAAAGATATACGGTGCCGGGAGCCCGAGGTATCGCCGTGACGTCACAGCGGCGGAGTGGTGGGGAGCCACCTGGCATCAGTTTCTGAGCTCGCGTGGCCTAGCCCTTGTATATCTGTAGCCCTGGCCTCATCGTGCAAATATGTATGGCCTTCTGCAAACTCCCAAGCCAAGTTCGCACATCCATTAACATCTATTACACTTCTGTGAATTGGCAACAGATTTCAATCAGAGTTTACGCTTACCACAAAAACCTAATCACAGGACTTGATTCATTCTCAGTGAGAAAGTCGATTTTCACTCATATACCTCATATATCTTGATGCGATTAATCATCACGTAGGAATGGGGACCAGCAATTTTAGGGGGAATATAAGAAAAACAAAAAGCCTTGGTGTAAGATTATAAATAGCTCTCATCATTGGGACGGGCACTCGTTGGAGACCTTAGTTCAAAGACAACCCTTGTATAGGAACTTTGTTACTCTGCCTCGATCATGACACAACTAAATCACCTGCACATAGAGCTTCTTAGCGTTGCCTTCCATAAAGTCACCAACAAATCCTGGCGGCATGGTGCTGATCTGTCCCTTGGTCGCTGAGATATTGACGTCGGCTCCTTGCGCCAGCAGCGTCTGCACACAGTCCGGCTTATCAGCCAGACACGCAATGTGGAGCGGAGTGTAGCCACAGATGTTGCGGTAGTTGAGACACCTGGGCTGTCCGCTGGTCAGCAGAGCCTACAAGGACATGTACTAGTAAGAAAACACCTTTGCAGGACTAAATTAAACAATGAATTCAAGTTTTACTTCTTTAATATCTTAAACATTTCAAAGTGTACAATTTACATAAAGCTTCTAGTCAAAAGTCGGATTCAAATCAAATCAAATCGTTTATTTCCATAAATTGAACTATATAATACGCAGATGCATATTATAAAGAAATATATTTTTCCGCATAGGCATAAGCCATAAGCGTAAAGAGTTTTAAATCTGCTATAAACAATAACTGTTACATTGTGGATGTAAAATAAATTTATCTATCTAATTAAAACATGTATTACAATTTACTGGGTGACTATTCCTTAAAAATAAGTAAATATTAAACAAAAAGGTAATTTAAAAGTTAATATGTATCAAATAAGGACAAAATAACACAATAAGTAATTTAGAGTAGAATTTCCTAATATAACCAAAGATTGAAATTAGCAACTGAAAGATGTAGCTACAATGCCAGGGTCTCAGCAGTTAACTAACATTTTAAAGTTTTTTTCTAATGAGCTTATTTTTTGGGGGATTGATTTGGAAAACCATAAGTTCCTTTATTTTGTCTAAAGATTAACAGACCAGAATGCATAGTTCAGAACAAAGATGAGTGTTGATCAAATGGGATAATGGTTTTACTGAATAAGTCAAATTATTTAGGCCTATCAATTATTGAGGATCAAACTTGTTAATAGGACTTCCAGTTCATGCATTACAAGGTAGCCTCTTGAACCTCACTATTTATAGCTATTTATAGCATTTATATACAGTACATATACTTAATAAACATCATGTAAAAGAGTTGAAACTTTTATTATGACCTTTAAATACCTTATAATTTGAAACAAATATTTCAGAACTATATTTAGGCCTAAGGCAAAATTAACGTATTTTACTAAAGGTTGATAAATGATCCAGTGTACAGTGATGATTATAGTTAAATAAACTCAGACTAAATCCAAAAATTCATTTATTCCATTATTTGGCAAACAGTTTATATTAAAAATTAATTACTCAACTGATTACCTTTATGTCTCACAAAGAAAGAATAAAAACATTGCAAATAATTGCTTATTTCTTTAAAATTAGGCTAACTAGCAATAGATAACCGTGGCATATCTTGTAGCTTGTCAGATAAAATAAGCAATTTGTACAATGATGAGGGCTCCCTATCTGCCTTTTGTCAAGTAAGGATTTATCTGACAAGTTCAATGCTGGTTAGAAAAAAAATACATTATTTATATTATAATGTTTTAATTGTTATAGGACTTATCTGGAACTTTCCATAGTTTTAAAATCTGTTACTGCTTTCAAATCTTCTCACACCCAACAGATGTAGCCTACGATTTAAGGCATATGCTTGGTTCTATACCAGTTTCAATACAAAACTAATAAGAATAAATAGTAATAATTGATATAAGTAGTGATGGTCAAATTTTAAGAAGTTGCATTTTAAAATGTTTACATGTTGCGCTAATGAAAATTCAAACTTTTTAAAATCAAGTCCAATTTAGTTTTGAAAGTTTTTACTCAACTGAATACTTTACCAATCTTAGTTTTTGCTTTGATGTTTTAATAAGTAACAGAAATCAGAAATCAGAAACGTTTTATTGTCCTTCAACATTTACAACAAATGCAATAGACAAAAGTCAAGAAAATTCAGCTATTACATAAACAGCCTATTTTTAGGCAAAACAAAACAAGCCTAAAAACAAGTCAAAATAGGCTATACTAATACATATGCTTACAAATAAAAAATAATGTGGAAATGTGAGGACATTAAAAGTTAACTTCGTCAACCTTAAAATATTCTTCTAAGTCATAAAAAGGATTTAAAAGTAACCAATCCTGAGCTCTTTTTTTAAATGACTTAAGGTCCAATTCTTTGGCATTGATGCTAAGCTTATTAAATAATCTTAATGAAATAACATGGTAACTATTTTTTAGGGATGGTCAAGTCTCGAAATTTCGGGAAATTTTCAATCTCGTTACACGAGACGAGATTACTTTTTGGCCGAGATTTTTATCGAGACGAGAATAAAAAAAAAAAAAAAAAAAAAAAAATTAAAAACGCCTGCAGAAAGTCAATGCAATACCCGCAATACAGGAGCGTGTTGTAGTTGCGTTTCCTTTTCGAAGGCGTTCTTATTTAATTAATTCTTTTAATGTAAATATTACTTTAATTCTTTTAATGTAAATATTACTTTAATTCTTTTAATGTAAATATTACTTTCATTATTTTAATAATATTACTTTAATAACATTTGAGAAGTTTTGTTAAGTGTAAGCAGTGTGAGGAATGTTTTATTACTATAAAAAAGTCAAAACAAGTAACTATTTTATAAAAATTAATATTGCTTTTATTTTATGATTTATTTTATTTTAGGATAAGTTGAACTCTATCCTAACTGATATCACCATGTTTCCTAATCGTAGGCATTTTTAATAAGTTAGGCGTGATTAATAAAAAAATGTTATGCTGATGTTATTTAATGAAAGATTGTAAATATTCTTGCCTATTATCATTATTTTAGTATTTAAACAGTCATCTAACAATGTTACAAAATCAGGTAAAAATTTCTAACGTGCATTTCCCGTTGTGTATGAGAAGAGAAATCTCGTCTCGATCTCGTCTCGAAATTTTATGAGAAATAAAAAATCTCGTCTCGTCTCGTCTCGAACTAAAAATCCAATCTCGTCCATCCCTAATTTTTACATTTACTTAACCTACAATAAGGCACGTCTAATAGGAACTGATTACGTGTGTTGTGTGAATGGATATTAAACCTATAAACATGGGAACTAGTATTTTTCTTAACCCTAAGTAAACACATAAATATGTACAGATTAATCACAGTCAATATTCTACTTCTTATGAACAATGGCTTGCAATGCTCTTCAATTGGAGCTTTGTTTATTATTCTAACTACCTCTTTTGGAGTATTAACACTTCACTTATGTGACTACTGTTTCCCCAAAGAATCAAGCCGTAGCTAATTATGGATTGGAAAAATGCAAAGTAGGCTACCCTTATGTAGGTTTCAGGTACAACACCCATAAGATTTCTAAGCAAACAGATTACTCTGGACAATCTTGCACAAACCAAATCTATCTGAGGAGACCAGCTTAAACATTTATCAATTTTTATTCCTAAAACTGTAATTACATTTTCATTGTTTACATCTTGTGACTCTACTGGAATGTTTTTAAGACTACACAATAGATTTTGAGTTTTATTCTTATTAAGACAAAGGCTATTAGCATTAAACCACATATAAGCTGAATCAGTTGTGAGCTCAGTTACTGACATGAGATCATAAAAGTTGGGATGAACACTCAAAAAATTGGTGTCGTCCGCAAACATGATGGTAGAGGATCTTTTAATATTGGCTGGTAGGTCATTGATGACTGTGATAAAAAGAAGGGGGCCTATAATCGAGCCTTGTGGCACACCTGAGCTAACTTTCAAGCAGCTTGACACCTTGCCTCCTGCATCAACGAATTGAGTTCTCTCTCTCAGGTATGAATCAAAAAACTTAAGCTGTATACCGCGGATGCCATAGTACTCCAGCTTAGTGATGAGTATGTTGTGATCAATACAGTCAAATGCTTTACTCAGATCACAAGCTGTGATCTGAGCAAAGCTCGACTCCTCAAAAGCTCTCAAAATCTTAGAAACAAGGTGGTCCAGGGCATCCACGGTAGACAAACTTTTACGAAAACCAAATTGAAAATTTGAAAAAATTTTGTTTGTGTCAAAAAATGAACATACCTGAGGTTTGATGACAGCTTCGATGATCTTGCCAATTATAGGGACCAGAGAAATAGGACGATAATTTTTAATCTGTGATTTTTCTCCTTTTTTGAAAATTGGGATGACTCGAGAAATTTTTTGGGAGGTTGGGAAAACACCTTCTTTCAGACATAGGTTGATACAAAAGACAAGGGGCATTACTATTTCAAAGATAATGTGTTTAACAATATTGCTTGTGAGACCATACACATCTTTGCTTTTTGAGGATTTCATTTTTGACACTGCACTGAGCACATCATCACATGACACTTCATTCCACTCAAGTTGGGTGCTGGGCCTCTTCACTTGCTGCAGGAAGTGATCCGCAGGCTGGGGACTCACAGGAATGCTGGCTCGAACATCGTTTACGGAGTCGATGAAGAATCTGTTGAAGTCCTCGGCAGAATGGTTGTTGCTGACCTCCTTCTTCTCTCCAGAAACTCGCCTTACTATCGTCCACGCTGCTTGGCATTTGTTTGCTGATCGCTCAATGAAGTCAGCGTTTGCGGCTAATTTAGCTCTGTTCGCAACGTTTTTATAGAGGTTTCTAAGTTCTTTGTAGGCACTGTACGAGGCATCAGTTCTAAGGTTCATGTAGACAGTACGGTAAGCCATAACTGTTTCCTTAAGTTTCTTGAGGTCATCACTATACCAGGCCACTCCACTTTTAGGCCTATTGTCCTTACGTCCGGAAATCTTCTTTGCGGTTAGGTAACTAACAGGACAAGTTAAGTTGAAAATATCAATCAGCTTGTTAAAAAATAAATTGAAAGTCTCTTCAGCTGACTGATCGGCCGCACGGTTACTGTTCAGGATGTTAGGCCAGTTCACATTCCCCAGTTCAGCTTTAAAGTTGTTTAAGCACCTTGGGGAAAGACTGCGGTGCATAATTTCCTCAATATATGGTTTAGCAGCTTCTGATGCCGTTATTAGCCTCAACTCCAGGCCTTCGTGATCAGCTATGTCAGGGTGAACGATGTGTGTGGAGCAGGAGTTGATCGGGACATTTGTAAAAATATTGTCCAGACAAGCTTTTTTGCGAGTAGGCTTGTCATTTAAGTAAACACAATCAAATTGCCTGAGTAGGTTAAGTAATCTTCTAACACTAGGCTGATCTCGGGTAACATCAAATCTTGAGTTTACATCGCCACCAATAACAATATTCATCTTCAATTTACTCAGGTGGATCAGTAGTAGCTCCAGATTATTCAGAAATATAAGTTCATCCCCTGCAGGAGAGTGATATATACAAACAATTATAATTTTAGGATTGTCTAAAACTATTCCCACACATTCAAAGCTTATTTCATGACAATAACATTCAATGTCCAACACTTGGAAGGTAGGCCTAGTAGGCTTGCTATTATTGGCGAATATTGCGACGCCACTTCTTATATGGGTTTTACGACAAAATATCGATGAAAGCTCATAACCCTCAACGATAACATAACCTGCCTCGTTTGGGTTCAACCAATGCTCGCTAAGGCAGAGAAAGTCATACTGATTACTCACAGCATGTAGGCCTAAGATGTTTTCCTTGGAATGTAACCCCTGCACATTAAGAAACAAGACATTAAGGTTATCATTTACTGGGTTTAGGCTATGTTTGCCCCAGTCTCGGCCGTGCGTTGAGAGTTTAAATTGTGCCTTGGTAGTTTGAATTCACTGATGAAAGTGTTTTCCGGCCAAAAGTCCTCACAAAAAATGCTATCCCATAGCGATTCTGGAACACCAACTTTGAAGGAGTTATAGGTTGGATACTTGGTATTCAGCTTTTCAACAACATAATCGCCACTTTTGAACGATGTAAGATGGTTTACGAAATCGGCCTTTTCGACCGAAGGTTGAAGTCTCGAAACAAAAATAAATTTAGTCCTTTTCACTGCCTTCAGGTTAGAACTGTCATTACTGTTTGTCAACTTACCAGTGCCAGTTAATACTTTCCGGGTGGGCCTGCCATTTCCTTTAGGTTTAGTAACAGTTTCTTGATTCATTAGTTCTGGCCTTCCATTTTCTAGGTTAGGATTAGACCTATTTTGCACGGTAGTTCTCTTCTTGTGCCTAACTGTCCTCCATGGGTTTCTGATGGAGTTAGAAGCACTCACTTCGGGGAAAGAGTCACTGGATATTACGTTATTTCCATTCACAGACGTCTTCTCAATATTCCAAACACAGGGTAATGGTTCACGGTCAAAATCTGCTTTCTTGGGGTTATCAACCGGCGTCATCATAACATTTTTGGTAGAGGAACCATCTTCCCGATCCTGATTCGTCTGCTTGGAACTGGTTGAACGGGAGTTGTTCTGGAGAGATGGTTCTGTCGCAAGAGTCTTGGTAGGTTGGCAAGTATCACTCAAAACTTGATTCAATTTAGATCTAATAATTTCGCTCTCACTTTCTAGTCTAGTGAGCCCTTCAGACATAGACAAGTTACTTTTCCTTATCTCGTTCAGCTCCTTAATGATTTGTGTCAGATCCGAAGCGTTCTGTGGGCAGTTCTTAGACGACTCATCAGTTCCGAATCCCGAGTTGTTCACGGAGTCGTTCGCTAGTATGATCGCAACTCGTTCTGAACACGATTGGCAGTACCAATTTATTCCTTTCATTTGAAAAATACACTTAAAATGATCGAAATTGGTTTTTGAAATGCTAGCACAGGCGATATGCCACCATTTTTTACACCACCCATAACACTTCACTGCGTTATGACGATTCTGGACTAGTTTATCGCACGAGCTACAAATACTTTCAGACTCACCACCCGCCATCTTGCAGACGAAAAAAAAGAAGTGTCTTTAACAGACTCACTGTTAAGTCTTTAACACTGATAAAAGAAGCTCAAGCCGGTTTAAAAAGGTCAATTTAAACTTTGAAAAACAAGCTGCTGCAAATGTCACTAAGTTTTGTTGTCATTTTAGTCTAAGAAGTAATGTAAGCAACAAATCAGACCTTGAAGAATTAAAAGCAGTTAGGTTTGGTCGACTCATTAGAATCACAATGCCGATCCATTAGCAGACTTGAGTGTGTGTGTGTGTGTGCTTTCATGTAGAATGTTACATGTGTGTTTGTTATTGTCTAATGGTTAGCACAACTTGTTGTCAAAAGGATGAGGCCATTCTTCCACAAAAAGTTTCTATTGTTTAATTTCATTATTGATACTTGAAATTGAATTCTTTCTGAAAATTCAGCTAATTTGAGGATTTGAGGATTCTTAAGATTTGACTTGTACACATTACGTGATAATGGCCTACTTTTTAACAATTTCCCAATAGGGAAGTAGGAAGTAGCTACAGTAGAACCTCTTTAATCTGAACCCCCGTAATCCGAACATCCAATAATCCGAACACCTCATTGCTGCACTCTATACACAGTACAGTATAGTTCTATATTGTATACTATATTTAATATACAGTAAGGTACAGTACTGTTAATTCACTATGTTTACTACTGTATTAAATTAGCAACACTCGTGGGGCTGCATACGAATTGACAGGCAAAGCTCTCTCCGAGTACTTAACGCTTTTTACCATGCGGTTAGCATTCTGGGTAGTATGTTTTCTGTGCTAAGAGTCACTTTTTGACCCTGAAATTCGGCTTGCCCAAGTGGCTAAAATATGCTAAACCCTATTGTTCTAAAACAGAAACATGATAAAAGTTAATTAAGTGTTTTAGGATATTACTTTTATTTTAACTAAATTAGTAGATGACGTTAACAGTCGGAGGTGAAGCTCACCAGTATGATATCCTTATTGGTAGACGCTGCATAATGGAACACAGAGTTGGCCTCGTGGTCTAGATGTTCCAGGGAAGCCTTGGCGTTGACCAGTGCCTTGACTACGGCCAGCTGCTGCTCTTTGATGGCCAACATCAGCGGAGACTCCCCCTTCAGTGCATCGGGTGTGTTGAGGTGACTGAGGCAAACATTTACATTAAAAAAATTGCTTTACAACAGAATTAAAACTATTTGTTTGAGTCGTTTTAAATAGAGATCCTCAAAAAGTTGAGTTTAGGGGCTGATAGATGTAAACATCAAATGTTGCAAAACATGACATTGATATTCAGTCAGGGTATACTCTCCAAAATCTACTCTCAGACGTTTTTTTATATGTTAGGTTTTTTGAGCTGGGCTATATTAGGATGATGAAACAGCTGATCTTAATCAGTAACAAATGCATCTCACTTCATTTTACACTCATCCTTCAATCATATTTGTGTTAAACCATGGATAAAACATAGTCCCTTAGTAGATTTCCCATCCTTATGGAACAGCTGAAGCCAATTTTATTATTAGTTGTCTGGTTTTCTGTAGATGTCGTGTTTTGTTTACAATTTGTTTCTTTTTATTTCAGTAATTTAAAACCTCGTTTAACCAAATAAAACTATCTAATCATAAACAATAACTCGTCCACTAGCTATAAAACTAAATAGTGAGACACAAATAATGAGAAACTAACCCTAAAATAATAGAAACAAATTGTAAACAAAACACAACATCTACAGAAAGCCGGAGAGAACTAACAATAAAATTGGCTTCAACTGTTCCATAAGGATGGGAAATCTACTAAGGGACTATGTATTATCTAAGGTTAATCCTAAGCATCCCCATTTAAATTAGTGAAAACAATAACGTGATGAAATATCATTGTTGTGTTTTGTGACATCTATCTTGACAAGTCAATGACAAATGTATGATGTCCAATAGACAACATTCAAATATATTAAATAGATTTTAATATCCTCAGTTTGGATGGCTGGACTCATTCTATTTTCAAAACAACTCCTAAATCAGCCACTTGGTTTTATTTTTAATATGTTATTAAAAAATGACTTTTGTTTTCATGAGTCTTACTATAGGGATTTTACAGAACCAACATTTTAATAGATTATAGCATACCTAAGAACTTGTTCTGAATTCAAGCAGTCTGTCAGGTTCAAGAAGACAGCCAAGTGTGTGATAGTCCATGATGGATGGTCTTGAATTACGTCACAAACTTTCTGGATGCCACTCAGAGAGTTGACCTAAGCCAGATTTGCATCTTGTTACCAATGATAAATCATTTCGCTACTACAAAACATTGTGTATTATCAGAGATGACACTTGGGATAGGTCTTCCCAATCAAAAGAGTTATCTCAATATTTTTTATTTTGGTTACTAAACTCAATCTAAGGCTATGGTTCCACAGACTGCGGAACTTCCGCCGTGCGGTGCGTAATTTTCCGCAGCGGAAAATTAAGCAGCGTAAATCTGGAGGGGTGGTTCCACTGACTGCGGAAATAACGTTGCGAAAATTCAGTTGTGTCCAAACTAGCAGCGAGTATGGATAGGAAGATGAAAGCCCTCGTGGCTTTGATGCTGTAACTGGTGACTTTAATGTGGATCTTTGTGCAGAGGATTATGATACTACTGAATTCCTCAATTTATTGAGTATGTTTGCACTCAAACCTACTATTACTGATATTACTCGTCCCAGTAATAATTTACGTGGCGGTTCCTGTATTGACAATTTTATTACAAATATCCATGTGGATCGTTTCTCCGCTGCTGTTGTTCCAACCCTTGTGTCTGATCATGATGCGATTACGATGAAGGCTACTGTGGACACTAGACCAATCACCACAGATGAACCTGCCCTTCCGCTGAAAAGAAGCAGGCCTATCACAGGTTTTGGATTTACTTACTTTATGTATCTACTTAGCACTTTTAATTGGCTTAGTTTGTATACAATTAGTGATCCATCTGATTCTGTTGATTTTTTCCTCTCATCATTTGTAGCGATAGTTGATAAGCTTATCCTTTAGTGCAAAATAAGGTTAAGTTGGGTAAAGCCAATGCACGTGTTAACAAATGGTATACCACTGAGTTACACAATCTCAAAAGCTCATGCATTGAAATTTACAGTTCTCTCAAATTAAGTGGCTGTGCACATTTAAGAAATGAATACAATCACCTTAGGCGCATGTATAAGTTTAAACTGCGAACAGCGAAGAGTGAATATTTTTCTAACATTGTAAATCAGTCTGCAAACAAACCAAAAGCCACTTGGTCTGTTGTTAGCTCATTGACCTCTGTAAACACTAAGCCTAAAGCATTTTTAGGTAATAATTTGACATCTGAAGGTTTTAATAATTTCTTTATTGACAAAGTGAGTGATGTTGTCTCTAGTATTTCACCTAGTGTAAATAGTCATTTAGATTTCCTGACAAATGTTGACAAACCTTGCACACTGTTCAATTTTTCACCAATTAGTGTTGAGAATCTTTATTCTATTATTATGGGTATTAAGAATAGCCAATCACTAGATGTACATGGTTTGAATGCAATAATCATCAAACAGGCAGCTCAGTTCATATGTGAACCCTTAGCCTATGTTATTAATTTATGTATGCATGCTGGTGTTTTCCCAAGATCATTAAAATATGTGAAAGTAGTACCTGTATTTAAAAAAGGGAAAAAGGACAGTTATGAGAACTATAGGCCTATTAGTATTGTTAGTATTGTATCTAAGGTCTTTGAGATTGTTCTCAACAAACAAATCGTAGCCTATTTTGAATCAAATAAGATATTTTCTTCTTGTCAGTTTGGATTTAGAGCCAAACATAGTACAATTGAGGCAGTGCTGTCACTTGTTCAGATTAGTTCTGAGGGTCTAGAAAAAAAACAAAGTGTTGGTTGTAGATTGTTTGACCTCACCAAAGCGTTCGACACTGTGTCCCATTCCATACTCCTTAGTAAACTTTCCTTCTATGGTGTCCAAAACCCTAGCCTATCTCTCATTGAATCCTATCTTGGAGATAGACATCAGGCTGTAGTTGTCAATGGAATTATGTCTAGTTTTAAGTTAGTCGAGTACGGGGTGCCGCAGGGCTCTGTTTTGGGCCCTTCATTTTTTATTATTTATATTAACGACCTTCCCAATCAGGTTCAGGATGGGTTCGTACATCCTTATTTATTTGCAGATGATTTGGCCCTCTCTGTTATTGAAAAAAGTGCTGAATCCTTGAGAGGTAGACTAGATGACACCTCTAATACCATAAACGACTGGTGCTGTGCTAATAGTCTATGTCTCAATGATCAAAAGACTCTTGAAATTCTTTTTACTTCTAGCCGTCTCAATGCTGCTAAAGCAAACCCTGTTAAGTTTTTGGGAATTCATCTTGAGCCTGGGTTGGGATGGGAAACTCACATTGACACTGTTGTAAACAGAATATGTAGAGGTATTTTTCTGCTTAGAGTTTTGAGTATGATTGTTTCCATTGATGCACTTGTAACTGTTTACCATGCTCACATATTTAGTCATTTATCCTATGGCACTATTCTCTGGGGTAACCACTCCTCCGTTATTAAATTACTAATCCTGCAAAAGAGAGCTGTACGTATAATGTGTGGAACTAGGCCTAGAGCACACTGCAAGCCTTTGTTTGTTCAGTTAAAACTACTCACTCTTCCAGCTATTTATGTTTTGGATTGCTTAATTTATGTGAAAAAGAATGTCCACAATTTATTGTTATGTGAAAATCTACATAATTACTCTACTAGGCAAAAGAATCACATATTTATTAAGTACAATTATTATTCCAGGACCTTAAAAAGTTTTGAGGTAACTGCACTTAAGCTGTACAATGTTCTTCCTACTGCAATCAAAGACCTGCCACTAAACAAGTTTAAAGACAGGATTAAACACTTTTTGGTTAACAGCCCTATTTATAACACTTGTGAATTTTTTGATCTGGACTATTCATTATTGTAGACCATTGCTGACTGTGTAGCCATTCTATGTAAATGTACCTTGTAATTTATGCATGTATGTGATGCATGATGCAGACCTAATTTATTAATTTATTTATTTCTTGTATGCTACTTGACTTTTATTGATGTGTGCGTTTTTGCAACATTTTGTAATTATTTTTTGTGACGAGACTGATAGCATGTAATTGTTGAATGGTCAATAAATTCTTGATTCTTGATTCTTGATTCTTGATTCTTGATATGATGATATTGATGATGATGTTGTCTGTAACCTTCACCTTTATTTTTTAATGGTTATGCTTTCTTAATTTAGGCCTATTTTGAATTTTACATAATACCTTTTAATGAGTTAGGGTAGTTGCATGAGTTTCTTTTTATCAGGGAAGTCCCATCTTTAATTTCAAAAATGTAAAGACTTATGGGTTCGTGTGAAGCTAGTGAACCTAGGCAGAGTCAATGAAAAGACCTGTTTACAAAAATTATTTTATTTTATATGAATACTACTTAATCTATATACAAACATGAAAAATAATGTCCACTATAAAATACCGTTAGGCCTACACCCTAGCATCATCAAGATAGTTATTTTACTTAATTTGTCCTTGGCCTAGGCTAGTAAGTTACTGTTTTAAATTATTGATTTTCAGTACCATCTATGACTGAGCTGAGCCCTGGTAAAAGTATTTAATAATAGAAAATGTTTAACTTAACTTATGCATGATGACTCTAGAATTTGTTATATTGAAGATGTTAAATCACTAGGTTCAGCTACTTATCCGTTTTTGTGGTGTTGAAGATACGTCTTTATGCCACAGGCTATATTGGCCTAAGCTAGTCCTACAAGTTCAGCCTGATATAATTTCACTTCACTAATTAATTACTTTAACACATTTTATAGGCTGACTCATTCATATTTAGACTTCTTGATGTTCTTCATCTCCTAACCTAGGCTACCTAGCCTAAGACGATACTATCGATTTATGTTAGAGACTAACTCCGGTCTTTACTCAAGCACCGTTTCTTCATAGGTGTTCAGTGTTCGACTGCCGTTGCAACTCGAACCGTTTTTTCTAAGTACGCATTTTATTTCAATTTTTTAAGTTGTTATTACAATTTTTGCACCATAGCTAGAGAAAATTCTAAAAATCATTCTATTTTAATTTGGCTTTTATCTTGTAATTCTCAAGATATTTGGTTTAATAACTTTAACTATTTCCCCCTTCTTCAATCTTTTTTCGCGCCATGACCGCCAAATTAAAAACCATTCCTACATTTTTTTTTAGTTTAATTTATTCTTTAAAAAATCTATACAATTGTCTTCAGAAACATATTTAATCACTTTCATCTGATTTAAGTTTTTTGATTAGACTTTCAATTTTCGAGTTAATTGCATTTTAGTCTTGGACTATTTTCTTGGTCAATTTTGCTCCGCACAACCTCATGGCGGTTTTTGCTCGGACCTTGTAAATTAATATTTTAAATTTTAATTTTTTACTTAATTTCTCTAATTTGTCCGATCATTTTGATTTTTCAACACAAGTAAGGGAATTTCATATGATTTTATTTGGTAACACTTTGAGCTCGATAGGACAAGTAGTTTTTTAGATATTAAAGTTATTCGATGCGTCATTTTTCTACAATAGGCCTATTTTAATTTAGTCTAACATATGATTTAAACAGATTTTGACCTCCCCGACAATTCATTACGAAGGCTATGTTCAATATCAATCTTTAGATGCAATGTTTTGACAGCTGAAAGCTTGTATCGTTTTTACTAAATTTTATTTTAGTCTCAACTTGGAATACCCGTTACATGTCGATCTTTTATATTTATTGGTGTCAAGTGTCAAGTCATAGTGATTGAAGTGATATATTTAAGATTCGGGACAGTGAAGGTGCTTACAACATACTCGTTCGTAAACATTTAGTAGACAAGTTTAAGCGGTACTCCCGTGTGTCAAAAGACCAATTTTTCTTTTTGGTTGATCACATCAAAGATGACTTACACACCAATGCTACTAATCGGGACAACCTTTGAATGCCGAGATTAAACTGGCGGTAACATTAAGGTATGTACCAACATTTAGTATTTTTGTTATTTATTTAACGAAATAGCACTAGACATAATGCAACTGCACGGTCACAATAATGCATGGCTCTTCTCCGCTGGCGGAATCCGCACTGCCACTGCTCTCAGACCAGTATGATTTGTCTGCCATGCGGAACTGAAAATTCGGGATGCGGAAACTCACGTCAGTGGAACCGCACACAAGGAAACTCCATTAAGCCAGTGTCGTTGTAATTCCACAGCAGAAAAAATCGCACCGCAAGGCGGAGATTCCGCAGTCTGTGGAACCATAGCTTAAGGTTGATTTTGGTTACTAAATCATTTTTCATGTCTGGTTAGATACAAACTTTCCTCAATATCATTGTGTTTATTTTTATATGAATGCTATTCCAGAAAGTATGGAACATTTGGAATAAAATAGGTTTGTGGGCCTACAAAAAAAATAGCATTATATACATTTGAAAGAGCAACTAAAATACTTCTTCCCTACATAGTTGTATGACAAATTGAGGCAATTATCAAAGCGGTGGGCTAGCTTTGAAATTCCTTTTGTAGAACTTGGCCACCTGTGAGCTGCCCCATGACATACAATTGGACCGCCCTTACCCATTTTTTCTGCACACTTCACACCATTGACAGTAATTTTGTAAAGCTCTTAACCCTTCCCGGATTAGTGACGGATATATCCGCCTAAGTCTTTGGCGATAAAGGACGGGTGGCGGATATATCCGCTTATGGTTTTTGATGTTCCGGACGGGAAGCGGATACATCCGCCTTCTCTTCAGACAGACTGGCAGGTGCTTGAGCAGTAACAAGATGTCAACAAGAGGCCCTTTCCTGCTCTCTCCCGCACCCCCCCCCCCCTACACTCCCCCCTCAACGTTTCGCGCTCAACACAACGTTGTCTTTATTTATTGTTTACATATTGTTCTGTATTTATTGCCTAACTTTGTTATGGTAATATCTTCAAAGACGGGTGGCGGATATATCCGCTGCTTTTCTACACATCTGCGGACGGGTAGCGGATATATTCGCATAGTTAAAAACGAGTAAAAAATTATTTTGACAGTATGAAGTGTTCCATTGTGTTAATTTTATGTATACTTGTATAACAAAACATAAGTAAAGCCAATTAAGAAAAACAAAGATAAAAGTTTGGATGATTTTCGAACTATTTCATTGTTATCAGTTTTCTCAAATTTGCTAGAAAGAATAATTTTAAACAGACTTCTACCTTATCTCTAAAACATCAAATAATTAACAAAGAACAGTTTGGATTCAACCATAGATACAGTTTCTAAATTTATCGATTTCATCATTAAGAATATGGATAGTAAAACCTCTTCTGCAGCAATCTTTTGTGACTTGTCAAAAGCGTTTGACACTATTGACAGAAATATATTGCTAGAAAAAATGGAAAATTATGGAATCAGAGGACAAGCGATTAACTTAATTAAATTCTATTTTGAAAAACGATTTCAGATGGTGCGGATAAATGACCTAAGTGGCTCATATGACACCGATTGGGAAATTGTCCATACAGGATATCCACAAGGATCGATATTAGGGCCGATTCTTTTTTAAATTTATGTCGCAGACTTGCCCAAAAATGCTGAATGCACTTTTTCGAATACAATTCAGTACGCTGATGACACTACTGTAGTAGTCCAAGAAGGGAGTCAAGGTGGTCTTGACCTTAATATTGAGGATTGCATTTTTAACTTAAGCACCTGGTTTAAAGAAAATGGATTAAAATTAAATGAAAACAAATCTGAAATAATCAAATTCAAAACTCGTAAACCTTCATAAAATTCAAGTAAAACCAAAAAAAATTTTATAAATTTTTAGGAATAACCATAGATGTGAAATTAGAATTTTCTTTACAGATTGATACTTTAAGTAAAAAATTAAATTCTTCTTGTTTTGCTCTTAAAGTACTATCAAATTCACTTGATAAAAACATTTTAAAACTGTTTACTTTGCAACTATTCAATCTAGATTAACTTATGGATTGGTAATTTGGGGTAGTACTTCGTGTGAAAATTTTAATAGAATACTCCGAATTCAGAAAAGCGCCATTAGAATTTTGCATCATATTCCGGTTGATGAGCACTGTCAACAAATATTTCAAGAACCAAAATTATTAACTTTACCTTGTCTTTATATTTATGAATTATGTAAATACTTCATGAAAAATAGAATCCTTTTTGAAAATCACACGAATGCGTATAACACAAGACGTAATTTTATAAAATATCCCTCGCACTCAACAGCAAAATTTGAAAAATCTCCTGATTATATGACTCGTAGGGTAATTAATAAATTCTTATTATTCGAAAAAGACACAGACTTTAACAATTGTTTTTTGAAGAAGGTCAGGCAATACTTGTATTACAGTGCATTTTATACTTTGAATGACTTTTTTAACAGTAGTGCTAAGTTAGTTTAAGCTTTGAGATGACATTGTACTTACTCATCATTAATTTATGACTATTCTCTATGTACATATTTGTATATTTATGGATAAATAAAACTCTTTCTTTCTTTCTTTCTTTCATTAATAAGAAAAATTTATTTTTATTTTTTCCCGTCCTATGTCACGATTTTGCCTGTCCGGGAAGGGTTAGGTTTAAGGCCAGTAAAAAAGTGTTCCAGACCACACCCCACAACTAGCAGGATTTACAAATGCAGCACACTTGAGCTTATATATTGCGACAACCCACAGCAAAACGGAACTTCTCTGAAACAGCTGGATAGTCAATGCTCAAGTCTCAACTAGAAATTGAGTGATCAGCATGCGCCTATCGTCAGACAAATCAGTCCTTACTTTCTGAATAGCCTTCATATTAAACCTCATAGAGGATCATCTCCGGTTCCGCCTCCTCATGTATGACACTACAGATGGCCCACGGACGATAAGTGTCACTTCCGGTGCTACCCAAGGTTTCATACTCGGCCAGACCTCTGGAATGTCGCATATTACAGCCTCCTGAGGTCTGAAATGCCTGAGGAAACTGTTCTGGTTGGGTACGCAGACGACGTTGCAGTTTTGATAGCTGCACGTAGCGTTGAGTTGGCTCAGCTAAAGCTGAACCGAGTTAAGCGTACCATAAACGCATGGATGGCAGACCACGGTCTCTCGCTTGCTTTGAGCAAAACTGAGATCGTGATATTAACAAAAAAACGGATCTTAATTGACACCATCATTCCGTTGAGGGTAGGGGACCATCGAAGTCCAGACCGTTCGTTCTGCCAAGTACCTAGGGGTTATGGTGGACAAATCCCCACAGTGTGTACACCGTACATAGATAGTCCTACGGAGTGAATAAATGAATGTATGGAAATGTTAATAATAAGTTAAATAGGAGGCCTAGGGAAAGTTGTTTCAGGCTTCAATGTTATTTATTATGACTATCACTCACCGTTGCAGAGATTGATATTAGAACAGGTATTTTGTCCTTGTACTGCAAAAAACGAATTTCAACTTCATCCTTCACTTCAGAGCGGTATAAACTGAAACAAGCAATTTTTATATATATATTACTGAAAATGGAATCCCTCAAACCGAGTGTTACGAACTAAAAACTAAATTTAAATCGTACTTTGTCATTCAAGGTAGGAGTGCCGACTAGTTGTGCTCACAACATCTTGAACCCAAGTTTTTGGCCATCGGGAGTCTTGGTTAGGAATTTCATTCCCTTTAAACGCAGTGTTTTACCAGCGGGGAATTCTAAACCTAGATCTTTTTTAGGGAGAACTGTCTACTGCACTCAACCAACATAGGCTAAACTGGAAATGGGCCAAACTGCTACATTCTGGTTACCTACCCCTACTGTAACACACGATCTACTGTTATTATACTGTGCCCACGGAGTGTAAACAAATGGAGGCTTCTCCTAAATAATCAATATAGAAACCAAGGTTGTATCATTGAATGTACAGTGTATGAGAACTAATTTTGATCTTTTGACCCTTTTTGTCAAAGAAGTGAAGTACGATCTTCTATTCGTATCTCTGAACGTTGGCTCGTTATTGAGGAGAATGACACCAAAAGATGCATAGCAGACTTACAAATTGTAAATGGCAGCTCCCACAAAAATGTTGGGGTACCTATTTATGCTTTAACATGTATATAGATCACCTGATGGAGATATTGAAAGTTTTTTTTACTCAACTTTACCTTTGTTTGCAATATCTATTTGGACTTTCAGCCAAGAAATTTGTGATCTGTGGTGATTTCAATGTTCATTAGAACGTCCCATCAAGAGAGGATGCCAACTTCTCGAATTTACTGTGAACCTACGGCCTTTATATAACCACTAAACTACCAACCCGAGGGAGTGCGTGCCTGGATACGGCGGCTTCTAATTTTAACACCTGGGAGTATTCGGTGTAAGTTGTCAACGCACTGGTGGCTGACCATGATAGAGCAGTGGTCCTGAGTGTGAAGACAACGGAAAGGGTGAGTAGGCCTAATAATTTATTTATTTCATTCCAACGGCAAATAATGTAACTTACCAATTCTTAATAGGAATCACGATGTAACGTGGCTACATACAAAGAATATACAACAATATACAGAAATACAAATAGAGATAAGTTACAGAATAAGTATTTACTAGATAAATATGTCATTGAGAGAAGAACTGTAAATAAGTTAGAGAGAGTTTTGCTTTGTTTCGTACGATGCTACGTAGCCTACTGCTAGTTTTAATGTTCCTAGTGATTCTCCAAAGCCCCATGTGAACTTCCTCCTTTTCTTTAAGCAAGTAGGTACATTTAAATACATTATTACACTGTTTTACCAATTAAAATTCTTAAGGGTCAATGTCACAGAATGGGATAACTTATGTCTCAGGTATTTAAATAAAAAATAAAACTGAATAAAAAATAATTAAATGTGTGTACTTACTTATTTACCTTATTTCCCAATAATATATTCCTTTATTTTAGCAATTACATGCATAATTTAAAAGTTTTTAAGGTTACAGACGCATATTTACAGTCCGGTCACTTGTCTCCGGTCACTAACCTAAACATCAAATGAGATGTGAAATATGGAAAAACTCTAAAAACACGACAGAGCTTTGAATATAGGTTATACGTAATACTTATTATTCGAATACGTCATCTGTTCAATCTTAAAATTGGTCGGAATATTGATTTTTCGACCTAATACGTCAGTCTCCAAGTGCCACCGAGATATAGACTGTGAAAATGACGTAGCCCGCCAAAGCAGCAAAAAAAGTTGTAAAGCGCGGCAAATTGTCCCAGCCTTGTGAGTACCTTAAAGTTGCTGTGAGTTGAAGTTTTCGCCAGAAGAAATGTTGATTTGGAAATTATAATCAAAACAACAGGTAAGAAACACATCGTAGGCTACCTTAATTATGTTACAGTTCGGTCACTCACACTAATCTGATATATTCCAATAAAACTGGCAAATAAAACGTTGGACTAGTTGTAGAATTGTGCACAGAGCATAACCTGAAAATGAGGCCTAGCCTCATCAACTAGCCTAGGAGCTATATAAATAATATAGTAAGATTACGGTCACGAACCGTCCGGTCTTGTTACCGGAGCTGTTTTTCCGTGACCGGGCTGTAATATAGTGCCAAAATGTATAATAAACGCAGGTTGCTTTTATTTTATTATGTTATTTGATATTCTAAATTTAACTAACAACACAAAGATTAAACTTTAACTAAAAATAGTTTAAAAAAAACTAAATTGTTATAAGAAATTTGTTTCCAAAATATCCAGGTACCGTATGAATGAATTTACGTTTTAGTTCTTTGTTATATAGGCCTATTTAATATTTGTCGTTTACGATTCTATGGTCAGTTTTTAACCATATGTAGGCCTAAGCTCAAATATTTGCATAACAGGATGGACGCATACTCAAAATCTTAGTTTTAGTCACGGCGGCGGCAGCCCGGTCACGGCAGCGACAGCCCGGTCACGGTACTGTGTATAAAAATTAAGAAAAATGCATTGGTAGGCCTAATTTATTTTTTTTACAATAGGTAGTTTGTAAACTAATTGTATATCTATGTTACTGAACTTTTTTCAAATACAAGTAGGCCTAGGTATAGGCCTATATTTAATTAACTAGGCCCTATGATGGATTTTGTTGACTTTTAAGAGGAGTTTCTATTTAATTTCACCTTTATCAATCACTTTTCATGAAAAAAAAAACAAAGATTTAGTCTTATAAAACTATAAAACCTGTTGAAATAGTGTTATTTCCTAATTATCAATATGTTTGTTTTTTTATTGAACAATATTTACTGTTTTTTTTTAACAATAGGTGTGACTGGACTGTACTTGGTGACCTGAAAAATAAAGTTAAATAGGCCTAAAGATTTTAAGCTCTGCTGCTGATTGATTTGTATTTCTGAATGGTTGTTACTTCTTATATAATAACTTAATATTAACAAAATATTTTATAAAAAAATTGGCAAATTGTCACATTTAGTGACAATGATCCTTAAGCACAATCCAAGCCAAACAGGGGTTGTTGGTAACAACTCCTATAGAGGAAAAATCAAAAATTGGTAGGCCTATCCAGAACTAGCTAAGATGCGTGCTCTAACTTAACTCATTCTACTGCATGACCATTATAAAAGCGCCATTGAACCCCACCTGAAAGCTAAATTCTTTGATCTCTATAAAAAGGCAAAGAGAAACTACGGTAAAAAGGTTGCAGAGACAAAAGAGGAGTGATATCAACGGAAAAGTTGTGTTAACAAAAAACAGCTTCCGTACCTATTAACCCTCCAAGTGTCCATAGTAATGGTATTAATGTTGGCCCATTTATTGCGCAATCGCAGGGTTTTATTAAGTAAAATGTATCTTAGAACCTTAAAAACACTTTAAAGTATACTGTTTTATATATATCATTTTGTTTGGAAAATTATGGGGTTCAATATAACATATAAAACATTATGGTACAAAAAAATTTTCTACAATTTTTGTGGGGTTACTATTTCTCAAAAATTATCAAATAAATGAAAAAAATTTATGTTTGCGCTCAATAAATTGTTATAACTTATAGGTTTACAAATATTTTAAAATAGCTACTTTGTTCAGAATTTTATGAGGATTCCAAAAATATAATAATATAAGGAAGTAGGTTTGCAAATAAATAAATTATGGGTTTCGTACATTTAGCGTTACCGTAGCTAAGAATGCATAGCCCAACCATAGCTAGGAATCTGGCCGATAATTTACATCAATATCACTATATTAGGTACCGGTACCTACTTCAGGATCATCAACCAGCCCTTCAAAATCACTTAAATCTTCTTATAATGCACCACGTATATCACTACCGGTACATACTTTTTATTTTTAACAAAACAATGATGAACGTAATAAAACACATCAGTCATCGGTGCGAGGTTAACCAAGTTGTTTACACGCACGTCATCTTTTCGCAACTAAAATGAAAAGCGTCTAGAAACAGACATCAGGAGAAAGCTCAGAATCTGCGGAAAACAACGATACCAATCTTGATCCAGTTCAATCTGATTCAGTCAGTCCCAGAGCCTTCGCCGTAAACAATATTTGTGTGTCGCAAAAGCGACACACCACGGCGGGTGTGTTGTGCGTCGATTACGCGACGCTTAACACTCGGAGGGTTAAGTTATATAACTTATATATGGTAGGCCTATAGATTTACTTTAAAAATGTAAATATAAAAACTGTCATAAAATTTGTCCTGTGAATAAACATCAAAAGGTCGAGTAGGCCTAGGCTATGTAGCCTAGGCTTTAAGTTTTTTTTTTTCAATATTCAAAAAGTAAGTTAGCCTCAAGTTGGGTTTTCCTAGGCGGAGGGCGGAGAGAGGAACGCGGAGAGCAGAAAATAGATTAACATGGCGTTCCGCTCCGCTTCTAGGAAAACAGTAACATTAAATTACCTAAGACAAGTGGAGTCCGCTCTCCACGCTCCTCTCTCCACTTCCTTAGGAACTTAGGTGGGTAGGCCTACATTTGTTCATAACTTAATTAGGCTAGCTTTTTAAGGTTTTAAAACAAGGTCCAGAGAACACAATAAAAGATGATGGCAACTAAGCTGAAACTTATCTTATCAGTTGATTGATAAGCTGCGGTTTCACTTACCCCCTGGTTCCACTTACCCCACTTTACCCCCCTAACTTAATTCTACAGCCAGGGGTCACTTGCAAAAGTATTTCATTGTAAGTTTATCAGAGTGAATCATAAAGTTTATAGCCAAGGCCTATTGTCGGGATCACGTAAGTTTGCAGTTGGTGGCAGCCAATCACAAGACAATGCTAGTGCGACGTAGGTAGCCACATCGCCCATTGACAACACTAATTAAATATACAAAGCAATATTTTGAAATCAGCTGGTATTATTAGATTTGGCAACACCGCACCGTTCTTATTGGTTCATTCAAAACCATATGGTTAATAGGCTCCTCCCTTAACTGCAAACTTATGTGGTCCCGACTCGATAAGTTACTTATTACGGTACTAGTTATTATATGCCTATTATATGGCTACTGAAATTCTTACCTGTAGGCTAGGTCACAGTATGCTCTTAGAATAACAATTTCATATTTATTGTCATTGTTTGTTGGTCCATAAAACACAATGTTGTCTTCCCTGCATATTACAGTTCTGTTGCTATACTTATCAGACTTCACCTCCAGAACTTTATTTGGTGGACTGGTATTGCTAAACATTTTTTGTAGCACATTCCCAGCAGTAGTCAGATTTTCAAGCCAAGAAGACATGACTACAAGGCCTACAATATAAGTTAATTAGGGAAAAGATGACACAATTACACAAGATTATGTTAATTCAATTCCAGACTACTATCTTCGTTTACACATACTCCACAGTGTCATAGGCCTAGAAGCTTTTGGATGGTTTTTGTTGAATATAGGCCTACATACAAATAGGAATAGGCCTAGGCTAAGCTTAACTGGGGAAAAGTCTTTCTACACAAATTAACTGTACTACAATGAATCAACTCAATGAATAAAGATTGCTAACAAATACACCAAAATGTCACAAGTTTTCAATGCAATAAACTTTCCACGACTCTTCAAGCTTCAGTTCAAGTCTACCTTTAGTTTAGTTGTCCCGTTGTCCGGGTTGTCGTTGTCCCTATAATAGTTTGTTTGTACTTTCTCTGTACTGACTGAAAAAACTGATCGATCGATCGATCGGTGATCACAGAGATTCTGTTCTGTTGTCTGCACTGCACTGAGCTATAATCTGTCGTTGTCTGTCCGTAAACGCTAGTAGTTGACTCGACTCGACGACTCGACTGAGGAGAGGACTGAGGAGTGAAGAGTGAGGACTGACCCAATGAAATGAAATGAAATGATTTATTTGCCGTTGATCATGTACATGAAATGGGCATTGTCACATATGATTAATGAAATTAATTAAAACAGATTGTCATATATCTATAAAGACTAACTAAAATCTAATTTCTATACATGTATTAAGATATTCATATGTATTGTAAAAGGGATTGTCTAAAAGCCAAGCAGTTACCTTTTTTTTGAAGACTTTGGGTGTGCAGGTCCTTGATGATTCATGTAGTTTGTTAAAAAAATTGATGCAATTTGCCTTGTGTGATATGCCGAATTTTGCCAAGGTTATTAAAAGAAAACAAAAGAGGTCAACTACCACGGCCGCCTTAAACTACAGGCACGGTCGCCTTTAACTACAGGCCGCGGCCTGGTAGAATTGGCAACATCGCAAGTGGTGTTGTTCAGCGACAGACGTCCCATAAGATAACATGACAGACAGGTGACATCAGCTCATTAATTCGCACTTTAATAATTTAATTTATAATTTATGAACATAAATTTATTAAAATATTGAAAATAAAACATACAGAATTGAAAATTGAAACAGTATGAATTAAAATCTATATCTGTACATTTTTAAGCGGAGTCAATATTGTCATAGTCTAGTAACCAATCTTTCGTAAATACACAAATACCATTAGCTGCTACAAAAACAAAAACAGCTGTTACAACACCACTTGCGATGTTGCCAGTTCGAAGGCCGCGGCCTGGAGTTAAAGGTGGCCGTGCCTGGAGTTAAATATGGTTAAAGGTGGCCATGGTTTTAGGGTGAACAAGTGTACATGGTAACTTAACCAAGCCAGTTTTTTTAGCGAACCTGAATAGAAGAAGAAGAAAGAGAAGAGAAGAGTAATTTTTTTTAGGAAATGTTGGTTCTGTTTTCTGTTCTGGTTGACTAAAGGAGGTTATGTCAAGCTGATTATTGGGAAGCATAAAACGTTTTAGATTTTAGTAGGGGTTTGTTAATATTACGACGAGCAATTCTGTTTGCTAAGGTAAGATGTACTGTATAGTCTTGGTTTTCTCAGCAGCATGACGAACCGGTATTCCAATAGTTTCAGTAATGAACCCTGGCTAGAAGTAGAACCTGGCCTAGGCCTACTGTAATTTGCTTTTCAAGAATCATATAGGCTACATTTAAAGTAAATAAGTTAAAGCACGGTAGCCTAAATAGGCTAGTCCTAATACATCCATCGCAAGGGTACAGTTTCTTAACTGGGCTATGCTAATATCGATTGAAACTATCGATTCGACTAAGTTAGTAAACCTTCATGCAATTTTTTCACTAGGTATCAGCAAGTTTGGTTAGGTTAGTTAGGTTAGGTTATGACAGTTTCATTATATGCAAAGGATACGCGTCCAGTAACGGACGTGGATTAGGCGGCCGGTAGTTACTGTCATAAACTAACCTAACCAACCAAACTTGCTGATAGTGAAAAAATCAAATGAAGGTAAAGTAAATTCTGTTCCTTCATAAATTGTGATTCGGAAAGCGAATAGGGACCTCTTGTCGGGAATTTTCGATTTTGAGTTATATGTATATTTGAATTCCTTAAACTTATTAAATTCCTAATCACTTGGTGCAAATCCCATGCATCTAGGATCACCTATGGGGGTTTTTTTTAAAGTTAAGTTAGCCTATAGGACTTTGAAATTTTGTTATGGAAAAGGATCATTTTGAAAAAAACCATTTTGAAAATTTCAAATAAGTTACGCTTAAAATAAGTTAGGGTACACTTCCATATCTGTTGGTACAAACAACCGAATGAGTAGGCCTACCTAATATTGATTACCGGTATTCGATTGTTTAATTTGATATACCGTTTGGGCAATTATTTGGTATGTCTACAACGCGATATTATGTACTTTTTTGATGTCTACTTACAGTATTTTTCACGCTGAATCCAAAAATGCAATCAGTTTTTGTCGGAGAGATTCCTAAATGATCGTAAAACGAGGGTCAACATTACGAATCTAAGGTTCATTGAGCTATACTGATGGCAATATGGCGTGGTCTGGACGGGTCCGTATGTGGACTGAGGACTGAGTGAGGAGGAGAGCAAACAGCTGTTTGTACTCGATACTTAATGCGGAATGAAATCAGTTCGTTTTGAAACCAGAGATAATCAGAATCAGTTCTTATTTAGGCATGTGAGGAAGGTAGGTCGGGTTTTATGCGGATTCGTGACTGTATTAAGTGTTTTGAAGTGAGGTTAGATTAGGAAGGTAAAGGTTAGGTTATTATGAACCGACTCATTAATTTATGCTACTTCCAGACTGTTTTTGCACAATTTAATAGTGGGTGAAACACAATGAAATAACGATATCAAAAATGCGTAAGCATATAGGCCCTAGCCTATAATGTGGTCGACTAACTAACTAAAAGTCTTGTTTTCTAACACATTCCAATGGCCTGTAATTTATCACTAACTAATTTCCCCAGTTTCATCCACCAATTGAGGTTAACAGTGGAAAATTCAGTGAGAACGCATTTTAGGATTTGCACCCGATTTTTGAATTTGTAATTCTAGTCATAATAGTTGGTCATTAAACAACAAGGAAACATTTTCAAAATCGTCTCGTTAAATAACTCTTTTTAAAATAACTTCAATCGCTGAAAAACAATATGGATGTAACACAATTAATTATCTTAACAACCCGGTTGACTATAATCAGTATAATCTAAACATTAACTTAATTACCTAACCTAACCTACCTTTAAAGCACCTAATGCAGCCATGAATCCGCTTCCTGACCTGCCCTCCCCTCATGTCTCAAATAAGATCAGTGTTCAATTTTGTTAAATAGAAAGTTCCCATTCCTATCAGCTAACCCGTTATTAACCCGTAAAATTAACCTTTACCCGTCTAATTACCCTTTTCTCCCGATGATTCCCCACGTTGGATGTCTCCCCCACCCAAAACCCCGAATTCATTAGGTGGAGTTATTGCTGATAAGTTAGTAAGCTACCGATACTTACATGTTTGTCTATTTCTCGCTTATTTAACTTCGGATCAAAAACATTCTTGCATATTCGTGATCTGCTGTCATTCCAGTTTATTTAACCTAATAGTTAAATAATTTTAAGTTAACCCTCCGAGTGTCATGCGTCGCTGCAGCGACGCGTAACGCACTTTGTATAGTGTCGTGCGTCGCTACAGCGACTCGCGAACACTGTTTACGGCGAAGGCTCTATGACTAACTGAATCGGACTGTACTGGATTGAGTTAGGTATCGTTCTTTCCGTAATATTCTAAGCTTTCTCCAGAGGTCTGTCTCTAAGCACTATTCATTTTAGTTCCGAAAATATTGTAGCAGACAGCTGACTGAGCTGACGTGCGTGTATTTGTAAACAGCTAGGTTACCCTCGGACCGATGACTGATGTGTTTTATTACATTTATCATTGTTTTAGTGTTAAAAATCAAAAGTAGTGATATACGTGGTGCATTATAAGAAGATTTAAGTGGTTTTGAAGTGCTGGTTGATGATCCTGAAGAAGTAGGTAGTGATATTGATGTAAATTATCAGCCAGATTCCTAGCTATGGTTGGGCTATGCATTCTTAGCTAAACGCTATGTACTGAAATCTGTTTTTTGCCCATAACTTATTTATTTGCAAATCTACTTCCTTATATTATTATATATTTGTAATCCTCATAAAATTTAGAACAAAGTGGCTATTTTCAAATATTTATAGGCCTATAATTTATACAATTTCATTGAGCGCAAACTTATTTTTTTTTTTTTTTAATTTTCGAAATTATACATTTTTTTTACCTAAAAAAATTTTTTTAAAAAAATCTTCCTTAAATGTTTTATATATAATATTGAAGCCCAAGATTTTCCAAACAAAATGGTATATAGAACAGTATAATTAACATTGTTTTTAAGCTTCTCAGATCAGTTTTAATAAAATCTTGCAAATGAGCAAAAAATAGGCTGACATTAAGGCCAAAACACGTGACACTCGGAGGGTTAATCAATAATACTAATAATCTTAATAAATAAGTTAATCTAACCTTTTAACACACTACTTGAAAAAGTGACCAGTTTACATTTCTCAACAATTATTATGACTAGTCTATTTGTACAATTTAGTAACTCCCAATTAATGTGTCTTGTTTAAAATACAATTTACAAATTAACAGCTGTTTCATTAAAAAGTATTATTCACATGTCCAAAATGTAAACAAATCTGTAGAGGGATCTTTAAAGGCTTCTGGGGCAGAGCCCTAAAGACGGTGACACACTATCGATCTTTTCCCCGAACAAGACCCCGAACCGAGCAGGGAGAAGGGAGAAGGGAGGTCGAAGGGAGGATGTTCGATAGTGTGTCACGGGTCCGTACACCGATCAAGACGCCGAACAAGACATCAGGCCGAGCAGGGAGACGAGCGCTCTGGAGGCGGTTTTTTGGCGAAAGATCAAAGAAAAGATCGGTCCGATGTACGGTCCGATGTACGATAGTGTGTCACGGTACATTTTTGCCCCGTACATCGTCGCGAGCGCCGCACCGAGCGGCCGCCTGCGCTAGCATTGATAGTTCTGATTTAATATGGCAATTAAACTCTTTAATTGGTAAAATAAATAAATGTTGAGTAATATGTTGCCGTTATATATTATAATCATTTAAGATGTAATGTTTGTGGTTTGTTTGGTCAAGGTTGAAAGTGTAGAAACCGTTAAATCAATTATATCAATAATATTAAGGTTGAATTAAGTAATTGATGTTGACTTAAATTCTTTCAAAAATAATATAAACATTAATATTATTAAAGGCAATTAAAATGATCATTCTGTAACGTTATTTCAATGAATAAAACCAATAGAAAACAGCACTGCCTCCGCGCTCTCACTCGCACACACTCTCTATCTCTCTCCAAACTTCCTTTTGCCGCGCTCGGTAGAATTCGTCTGGTCTTGGTCATGTTCGGGGAAATGTTCGGAGTTAAAATTTTGCTGATATTTATCTCCCTTCTCCCTTCTCCCTGCTCGGTTCGGGGTCTTGATCGGGGAAAAGATCGATAGTGTGTCACCGCCTTAAGGGAATTTACTTCGTTTTTCTTTTGATAACCCATCTACAGACCAAGACCTTTCTTTTGACACCCCTACCAAGTTTCTACGCCCAGCCGTTCTCTCAAATTAGTGGAGACAAAGTTTCCTATTAAATTTTTAGATTCCCCCATGTTAATCTTATGGGAGAAAATCCAACTTTGATGGAAGATCCTGCCCAAACTAATAAAGATATCAAAAAACGAAAAACACTTTGCAAAACTACAGATCAGGGCAATTCTTTTGACATTTTAATCATCAAAATCGGTCCAAAAATGAGGGAGGAGTTCTGTTCAAAAAAATCGGCTTAGCGTATTATATATATAGATTGTAAAGTGTTATGTAATATGGGAAATAAATTCATTCATTCATTATTTGAGTACCCATGTGACGTACCCATAAATGTTTTTTTGGGTTTTATGGTCGTTTTCTGCAGAAAAAGAACGTCATTTTCGGAATCAGCGTTGAATTTTCCCGACTAGGATGAAAGAAAATTAATACATAGGGCCTATACCCTTATTATTGGTTATTTATTGGTTTCCCTTATGTTTTATTTATAACTAACTATCTCAATAACACTAATCAAGGGAGAACATCAAATTTTAACTGAACCCCATTTTGTGAGTGTATATTCTCCTTTAGCTAACTAGGCTATGCTATTTCTTTTATAAAAAAATGGGAACAGCTTGTCATGTAAGTTACCTAGTTTGAATGTTTGATTCGGCACTCAAAATTTAAGTACCTATTGTACTAAGTAGCCTACCTACATTAATGTTATTGCAAAAGAATTACGGCATATAAAGCCCAGGTGGTGCTTGGTATGCAGGCAATCTTGGCTTATGTGATTTTGCATACTCAATCCTGTGATTGTCTTGGTAACCGAAAAGGTTAATGCTTAATTTCAATTCTGGAGGTTGCTGGTTCAATCCCGACCGAGATAGATTCTAAACCTAAGTGTCATTTGTCATTGAGCTACGACATAAAGATTTTTTTATAAAAACGTCAATTTCATAGATACTGTAAAAATACCAGTGTTTGGACCATCCTTACAATAAACTTTTCAGAAACTTTTGACGTAAATGGTCCAAAAAAAATTCAATGTAAGTTATTCAATATATCCTTTGCTTAGAATTCTTTGTGTTTCATAAATAATATAAGTGATAAAATAAAGCTTTATTTCTGGGATTAATATCTGGTATGTATGGTTCTACTTTGATGGGGCACTTAGCTAGAAATAATAATTTGACATCCTTTCTTTTTATTTCAAAACTAACTGATTAACCTATGACAACCTAATTTTTTTGTTTTAAGAAAATATTCCATATTTTCAGGGAAGGAGAATGAACTTCATTGTGAACATCGTTCGACAGTCCATCACCAATGTGAATCCTCCTGTGAACAGTGTCACTCAGGTAGCGAAGACATTGTTACAACCAGTGTTGCCAACATTGAACTTTGTCAATGGATTTAAGATGCGTTACGCAGTGAAACGGAGGTGCCGAGACTGCTGGTTGGAGATTAGAGACGGTAGAATTTACAATCTTTGCTTAACTCATCCGAGGCACAAGCAGATGGGACTGAAAACGCACGATAAAAAGAAAAGGATCCTCACGTGGGCAGGTATGAGCAAGAGGCGTGCTTGGTAAACGTTTATTTGTATTAGCTTAGTAGGTATTGTAAATATATTTTTGTTCAAAATGTTTCGAGTTGTTTTGCTGTACCCGAACTGATGTTTTTTTCCAATGTGGAGGACTCATCTGATAAAATGTGTCCGTTAAAAATAGTTGCCAAAATTCAAAAAGTGTTAACTGATTCCAGTTTGGGCACATATGGTTGAAATAAGAATTAATTTCTCAAAAGAACATTCCCTGCCAAAAAATATTTAATGGTAAAATTCTTTTCCACATTTAATTGTCTTTTAAAATCTTATTAAATTTATTGTGAAAATAGATTGGACACAACATTTCTTAATCTCAGGCTTGCAGCACTAAGTTTACGTTAAGAAATAAATAAAATAATTACTTCTACTACATTTCCTGATAGCCCTTAGTATTTATTTATGTATTTTGCATATTTTTTCCATACCGACATTGAATATCATTCTTGTGTAGGACTAATAAATTGATGGTTTGGAATGGCAGTAAACTTAAGTATTTTAGCTATAACTCTCCAATTAAGTTAGGCTTAGTAATTCAATAGGTCTGATTTGTAAAGTCCCACAGATATGTTACAGGTTAATATTGCTTTTATTAACATTTTTGAGTTATATTAAAATTACAGTTATTTCATGAATGGATTTTGAGATTATTATAATTTTTCTTATCAAAATATATTCAAAGATGCACTTAAAGTATCTTAGCCACATCCAGGGAACCACCCACTAGAAGGTTGATCCTGAGCGAAGAAATCAGAACCTAATTCTTTTTGTCTTTTTACATGAAAATCTGGGCGAACTCCTTTTTCTTGCAAATTATGAACATGGACAAGAATCGCAAGATCCTGAAAAAATAGAATTAACCCTGAAAATATCTTCATGATAAATAATCTAATAATATTATGTCAATAGAATATTATATTTAAAAAACATTAAAATGAATAGACAACCTGGTGTCAAGTTGTGTTAAAATTATTTTTTCGTCATACTGCAGGAAAAACAGCTGTTTTTAATGCATGCGTTGCGGGTGTACAGTAGCATTTTTACTCTCTAGCTAGGGAGTAAAAATCATTTGAAATCTCTAGGGAGTAAAAATCAGCTGTTGTAGACAGTTGTAAATTTTGATTGTGGCAATCGTATCGATCGATTTTATTTATCGATTTATTTATTAGGTTAGGTTGTCGATCGCTCGACATATCGATGGTATAATGTACTTACTGTAACACAATCGTAATAGACAAAATGATGAATCGCTTAAGCTGACGACAGCTGCTTATTTACATTTAGCAAAATTTTAAACAAGCTGGAAGTCATTTTGAGAGGTTATCTTTTCACACAAATTATTTTGTTTTCTAGCATAGTTTGATGCAATATGGCAAAAAATATCGTTCACCTCACTGGTAAAAAGTGTCTTTTTAACCCTCGCTCCATTAATGGGGTCCCCTTCTACTTTCCTTTCCCCCCTCGCCATCGCGTACTACAGCGTTAACGCTGTAGGAAAACCCTGTGGACTACAGCTGCTGTACATGGTATGTGGCCTTCACCGTTGGGGCTCTTCCTTGCTCAATACTAGTACATTTCCACCTCACCAGAGCTAAAAGTGCACGGTGGTCCCATAAGCTTGTATCCTCCGTATCTTACCGTACTTCTCTGTGGTACCACTTACATCAAGTCAAGACACTAACAACAGAAAACTGTATTTTAATCAGAATATGAGTACGTATATAGAATGGAATAGAAGACCATGTGTAGGCCTAGTTTTGTTTTGTACAGACTAAGATTTTCTGTTTCTTTGGTCAGGGCCAGTTTTTAGAAGCCCAGTATTCAAAGCTATGGTCGTGGATAAGTTAACGTGGACCGTGGACCTAGGGGGTGGGGTCCATGCCCCTATCCAATCATTGTTTACAACTGAATTTTCTTTGAGGGACCAAGGGTGCCCAATTACGACCTACGGAATTACGGAATTTTCATTAAAATTACGAATAAAAACAATGCAATGTCATCATTTTTTTTAATACTGCTGTTAATATGATACCAAATTTTACACCAATCGGTCAATGTTCAAATATTTTACTTGCCTACATGCCCGGTTTATCTTTTTACTTGTAATACTGAAGGAAATTGCTTGTCACGATTCAGCAACCTAGTTTCCAGGAGTGTTAGTTCAGTCGAGCGGCTGATACATCATGGGACTGGCCACCACAGCCGTGACCAATAGTTGATTTATGGTATGGGTCCAATCCCTGGATCCACATTACCATTGATTTTTCATCTCCCAACACGTTACTTTGCCCATGACAACATCAAGGTCTAGTTTAAAACCACAAAAGAGACACAGACCTTTTATACAATTGACAGAGAAACCTACTGACTATTAAATGACTACTAAATCCACCCAGCTGTAATATCTAACCTTTAAAGATGTGAAAATTATGTATACAATTAACTTGATTAACTTTTGCCTACAATTCCTATATTTCTTAACACTAGGTGGTAGGGATGAGCATTGACGTCAACCATCGATGTACCGATAACATCGTTGCAAAAACATCAATGTTTTTGGGACTAGCATCAATGTTTTTCAGTTTTTCATCTGCTTTTTGTACTCTCCAGTAATGGAAAACCTCGATATCTCAATACTTGACCAATAACATCGATGTAACTAAAAATTGGTAACTTACCATCGATGTAAAAAACATCAAACATTGATGTTTTGAAAACATCGACTATCAATGCTCATCCCTACTAGGTGGTAGTGTTGCCTAGCCTCTTGTGATACTTTCTTTGAGGTTATGACTGCCTTGGGTACCGAATGAAAAAAATGTACGAATGTGCTTGTGATGATGTAAACTAACTGACCCTGGATGCGACACCATCGAGCGGAATAGTTCTCTTGTGCCCTTCGTCAACCAGGATCTCCAGGAAGATCTCCTTTTTGTCCTCACCCTCTGCCAGGACCTCCAGGCCACTCCTGGTGAGTATCCGGACTTTGGCATTGCACTTTACTACCAAGGTGAGGACAGTGCAGCGATGTTCGTCCCAGGCTAACTCTCCCTCTGAGTCTACCAACCCTTGTACGTACGCCTTGCACATGTCAGGCGTGGTTAGGATACGAGTGTACCTTCCACGGCGTCTGATGGCCTGCAACAATGTTGTGAACAAATGGCCTCATAATGTAAACAAAATAACAAATATGTTCTTCATAAGGATAATATGGGAACTTTTAAAGCCACCGGGGCAGAGCCCAATGGACTTTTTCAAAAATGTAAGGTCAGTTTGCAAATCTACACACCTAAACATTTTGGTATATAATATGTAGGGTTAAATTTAAAATCAAAAAACCTTATTGTTCACAAAGTTTCATGTAGCATGGATCATAAACAACGTTTTTGGCCCAAAAGTAAACAAGACCATTATACTAATAGGGTCTGACTTAGGGGAGGTACAAATTAGGCATTTAGTTCAAAATTCCTCCGTGAACAGCGCTGTAGTAGAGAGCACTTTGGCAATGAAGGTTTACTAATCGCAAAAATAGTTCTGTTCAAAAAATAAAATTATAAATGCCTCAAATTCAATTTTACTATTTTTTTAATATAAAATTAAACTATCATAACCTAACCGAACTAACCAAACTTGCTGATAAAGAAATAATATAACAAAAGTTTAGTAATCGGAAAAATAATTCTGTTTATTAAATAAAACTAGAAATTGCTCAATTAAAATTTTATAATAACTTAATAATAAAATTAAACTGTAATAACCAAACCAAACCAACCAAGCTTGCTGATAATAAAAAAATCTTGGACAAAAAGTTAACGCTACCAGCGGGATTCGAACCCGGGACCTATAGTATATCAGCCCGGCACGCTAACCAATAGACCACCGAGTCCGATGGCTGATGAACGTTTTGTTACGGTAATGGCGTTCCCTCAGCTAATAAGAAGATCTCAGCTGTCATCGTAGCCTCTTCTATACCTCCCCTGAGTAAATACCATACTAATAGCATTAATTAACATATGGTTTTGTTTACTTTTGGGTTATAAACGTCATTTGTTTATGTTTATGATCCATACCGAGTCTTTTCTAGTATTCGTGGATACACCTACCTTTTGTCAGGTAACTCAAAACTGAAGCTATATTACTAAGCTGACATCAAATCAAAATATCCTTTACCCAAGGTACATGAAAAAGTCAGGGAGGATATGCAACTTGTTTTCTATTCACATTATTTTAAATCGTAAAATTCCTCAAAGGAGGAAAATGTGTTTTTAATTTCTTTAGTTTTGAGTAATTTTGTTGATATTTCATTCTTTCTTATGTCTTTTGGTAGAAGAATTGTTAATCATCAATCATTGAGATGACGACACCTAATAGGTGTGTTTTTTATTAACTCAATTATGAGTAAAGGATGAGTGTAGAATGCAAGTTGTGGGTGTTCCCTTGTAAAAACTACAAGAAAATATCCTAAAAAGCTATTAATAGTATCCAATATTGTAAACAAACCTTCCACTGGTCAGTTTGGGCGTTTGGTTCTTGAAGAGCTTCAGCAGTAAATAATCGTGCATCTTTATATTTCTCTTTAGTCTCTGCTCTATTTGTATCCCTGGGCGCTAATGATTTTTGGTCTTCAAAACCATACGAGGAAGCAAATAAACTTACCGAAATGAAAATAAAACACAGATGTTCAACTGTCACCAACATCTTGACAGATCTGAGTGAGCAGTCAAGTTTTATTTTCTACTAACTGTAATGAGTCGAATCGAAGAGTGTTTAGAAATGGAACTGATGAGGCTTATTGGAACAAGTGTTAACGATTAAGAGAATGACATATGGCAGTAAAAACACTTGCTTTACCTAAACCAATATTGCTTGCGTTAGAGAGGCGCTAGATTGTAATTTGTAATTTTATAATATATTTTTTAAAGATCATTATGACTTATGTGTATGTGATGCAAAATAATTTAATACATACAATACAAAAAATGTATGATATTTAGCCAGTCTCATTTTTAAACGAAACAATTTTATTTAGAAAGTTGATTGTTAACACCACAAATTGTAAACTGAGCACATTTTGGAAGTTCAAAAAAAAAAAGATTATGAAGGCTACATTGAAAGTTTATTTGTGAATTATAGTAGTTTACAAAAGATGTACTGTACTGTTGTGTGACATAAATCCTTTTGTAATTAAAAGTAAAACATCGTACATGGTTTTTTCATGTCAGAAAAGTGGTTTAAATATGACTGAAACATAAAAATGGAAGGTCAAGGGATTTTTTGTTGTACCTAACAGTTAACGCTGAATCCTGATCAGTGGCGGCTAGCCCATAAGGGCTCTCGGACGCCGCCCTCCCAACAATACATAAATAAATTACTGTAAATTTTAATATTATTTAGTTGAATTTAATTAAAATTACTTAAACGAGTACTTTAATCAGTATACAACATAAATATATCAAATAATTGGATAATTCAATTCAGTAAAGACTTATTTTTGACCGTCGCTTGCTTAGTAAGGACGGTGGCAAGACCGACCCAATCCCAGTCCATGTAGTCTTATGGCAGAACAACTGAACAGCGCTGAGGGTGCAATGATGTCATTCCAATGCTTTAGTATGGGCGCTTTGGGGCAGATTCCAAATTTGCGCGCACACTCTAAAATCAGGACAGGCACCACAATCTGGATATTCTGTATGACAATCTACCGTTATGATGGGTAGAACTGATGTTGGCACACCTGTTTGTCATAACTCAAACCATCTAATTTCTAAAACTAGAAAACAACTGAGCCAACATCAAAATGTTATTTTGGTTTGGTGTTGTTCTTTAGTAGTAAAATACTAATGAATGAATATTGAATAGTGATGTAGGAGTACTGTTTGTGCATGTACTTAAGTAAAATACTAATCGTATACTTTATTAAATTGATTTCACATCTAGTTTAGTTAAAGGTAGGCCCTGCTTTTCTGGTTGATTAATATTATTGAAGTACGATAGGTTTTTAGGTTACCGGTATCAGTTTAAATGCAATTTGTTTTTGTAAGCTGTTTTACTTATTTGGCTATCTATTTCTTATTACCTTAGATATTTTATGGAATATTATCATTATTTTGTTAATGTTATTTTCAGGGCAGACCCATCTGCAGACACTGTTATTAAGTTAAATACAATAGCAGCCTTGGAAACAAGTAAATAAAATAAATATATATCATAAGCTAGGCCTATGTGTGTTTGTATTACAAATTTTAAGCCTTAAGTAAATCTTTTCCATTCTTTGACAAACGTGAATGTTAGGCCTTCGTTTGTATATAAAAATATGCAGAATGAACCCTCCCACCACTTTTGAACACCAGCCGCTACTACTCCTGTTGCAAAATCGGTAACCCAACAATCATTACATAGGACAACGGTATGATAAAAATAGACAGTAAAAATATTTAAATATATTTAAAATACTATAAGTACAAGTCACTTGAATAAATCACATATTAAAACATCTTAACTCAACAAGTCAGTGTAATAAATAGTACAAAAATAACTAAACACTAGTGTACCTGTTGCTCGAATTCGAGCAATTGCAAAGTATTACAGGAATTTACAGGCACTATTTTAAAACGAATAACAGTAATAGTTTCCGATGACTTTAATAGAGTCGACTCAAAGATTATGGAAATACTCACGATGTACATAACAGATTGATAATCAACATTTCTTGTAAATATCTTATCATTTTTCAAAGTTTTTGGCACACCCTGTATCGGAAAAAATTTAAAAATATTTTTAAGTTATTCCTTTGGGTCGATTTAGTGGAAAATAATTTTATTTCATCCTTGTACATTATGCCGTTTTTCCGTAATCAATTTGAGACCTTACGTGGGACACCCTGTATGTTGGGAATGTTAGCTATAATCATGCCAAATTTCAGCCAAATTTCGTCCAGTAGTTAATGCGTGATTGAACTTCAAACAAACACACAAACTTTCACATTTATAATATTAGTAAGACTAGTGTACATGTTGCTCGAAATCGAGCAATTGCAAAAAAGTACAGGAGTTATTTATAAACAAATAACTTGTTTAAAAACTGATAACAGTCATAATTTCCGATGATTTTAAAAGAGTCGACTAAAAGATTATTAACTAATGGAAACACTCACAATTTACATAACAGTCCTATTCCAGTTTAAAGGGTTAATTTTTTTTAACTATCAAACTACCCATGGACGGGAAAAGGTAAGCTTACAATTTAAGTCAACGTAAAAAGGCTGTTAGCTTTTATAATGTACCGTACCTAAGTTATTTAGCCAATTTGTAGACAAAAGGTGTAGGCTACTTTAAACTCTACAGAACAGAGTTAAGCAAAAACTGGCAGAACTCTGAAATGAGCATAGGCATACTCATATGCCAAATTCTTAAAATAAAAATTCAATAATTAATAACTTATATCATTAAACACAAATCAACATCCAAAACTATACACATTTTTAATACAACATAGATTATTTGTACATGTTTACAATTGAATTAACATATGTTCTTCTTCCCACTTTTAATTTTTGCTTCGTAACGGGAAAAATCTGTTTCATAATCATAGAAATATATTTATAATAAATAATCTATCATAAAGTTTAAGATTAAATCAACCTACCACATAGTTGTTTAATTTTTTTGGATCAGCTGTCTGAAATCGTGAAATAATTTGACAGTTCTGGTTGTTTACATTTAAATGTCAAAGCTAATGTAAACATTGTGAGTTTCCTCATGCTTCCAAGGAGACCAATTATCAATATTTAATTTCTGACAACAGCTGGAGTTTCAAAACAATGTTTGTTTCCCATGTTATTCTTATGGAGAAATACGAAACTTTAAAGGGCCCCAGGGACTCACTCTCTAATTATTTACCTAAAAAAAAAGTTTCCTGCACAACTTCACGTTACCCTCTTTCCAACGACACCAAAAACATGTCAATCGGTTCAGTAGTTTTGGAGGAGTAATTGTCACAAAAATCCTGCTTGCGTATTAAATAAGTATATAATATATATATATATGGATTAAAATCAGGTGTGATTATTTGGTATTACCATTGACTATTGGTATTACCTTTGTTTGACTATCAATACTAGACATTCCCATGGTAGAAGGAAAAAACGGGTCTGACTTAGGGGAGGTACAAATGAGGCATTTAGTTCAAAATTCCTCCGTGAACAGCGCTGTAGTAAAAAGCACTTTGGCAATGAAGGTTTACTAATAGCAAAAATAATTCTGTTCATAAAATAAAATTATAAATGCCTAAAATTCAATTTTATTAATTTTTAATTATAAAATTAAACCATCATAACCTAACCGAACTAACCAAACTTGCTGATAAAGAAATAATATAACAAAAGTTTATAGTAATCGGAAAAATAATTCTGTTTATAAAATAAAACTAGAAATTGCTCAGTTAAAATTTTACAATGACTTAATAAAATTAAACTGTAATAACCAAACCAAACCAACCAAACTTGCTGAAAATAAAAAAAATCTTGGACAAAAAGTTAATGCCACCGGCGGGATTCGAACCCGGGACCTACAGTATATCAGCCCGGCACGCTAACCTTTAGACCACCGAAGCCGATGGCTATAGATCGTTTTGTTACGGTAATGGCGTTCCCTCAGCTAATAAGAAGCCCTCAGCTGTCATCGTAGCCTCTTCTATACCTCCCCTGAGTAAATACCGGAAAAAACATAGGTGTGCTATTCCCACATATTCTGACGTCACTCGGATTGCAAACAAAACATCACCTGATTGTAACTGTCAAATTAGTACTGTATGTATTTGTTTTGATTTGATTGTTATTGTTTTTTTATAAAAACACACATTATAAAAACAATAACACACCTATGTTTTTTCCTTCCACCATGAGACATTCCATCCCCAGTATTACTGTAGGCCTATTCTGTTTTGTTTATTTTAGCTTAACTTAACCAATCAATAGTTTTATTAATACTCATGAAGTCAAACGGGGTGAAGCCCGTGGGTAACAGCTAGTTGCTATAAATTGACTATACATGCCTAAAGTAGATTTTCCACCAGCTTTATTGTGACATTTGGAACTGATGTTGGACTATATTATGTTATTTGCATAATCGGTTCACCACTTACCAACCTTTTTTTGTATATTTACCGTCTTGTGAGTAACAGTAAAAGCGTAAATATATGTTTTAAGTGTTATAAGACGTTTCTTTTATTTACTTTCCGTTTTTTGCAGTACAGGATTCATATTTGAGTGCTGCTGTATTCTTTTTCTTCCTTTCTCATTCAGAACAAAATTTTAAACTGAGACGTACCCATGTCATGATCATGCAACAGCAAATCATTACACAAAAACAACCGTCTTGGAAAGATCATTATTTTATTGATTAAATTCTAATCTTAAAAAAGGAAGAAATTAATTAGTCAGCAACACACAAAAGCCTATGTGTCAAACATCAAAACTGACACCTTATTGCCATATTGATGAGAAGAAAATATTTCAGCTTCTATATTCAATGATCATATTCAATCTTCTTCAGTAGAAGTGTATAGTGCTTGGTTTCTCCGCTTGAACTTTTTGTTTGGTATCGGAGGTCCATCCTCACTAGGTTTTTGACTCGCATCTGTTTCACACGTTGATTGCGACAAAACCGATTCATTTAAGCTGGCTGTTGTGTTCACTGAGTCTGTTAACAATCATATCTATTAGAAGTTTTAACTTGTTTGCTAGCAAGCAGTACATATTTGTGCCCAAGCCATTTCCGTTAAGAGATAAATGATTACTTAACATATTGGAATCACTGAAATAAGAATATTGATACAGAAAGGTATTTTGTTACAATAGGTCAACACAACACACTATTATCACCAAAAATTATAATGTAGGGTTGATTGGTGATAATTCGACACACTTGTCAGTCCGATACTGCAGTGAATGAGTTTGGTCAGTATTCGTACAATAGTGTAATTTTATTCCATATTGTAACTGGAGTTTCATTCAGTTCTTTCCAGTCTAATTTTGCATTCCTTGCTTTGAGTATTATAGGGATTATTGGTTATTGATTATTGAGTTGATATTATCTGTAATATCATTAATATTACTGCAATTATATGTAGTTTATCAATTAAACTTAAGTATGGATTTTTCAACATTTGAACTCATACAATATAAATACAAGAAAATAGCTAATTTGAACTATGATTACTAAACTTATAGGCTAACTTTCACTTAAATAGGTTTCACTAACAGTTACATTTCTTGCAAATATAACTGAACAAAAACAGCTGAACAGCAGCGTAACATGAGCTGCTCCCAAGGAGTTGCAGTTTTGTAAAAAATTGGTTTCTGTTTTGATGAGATAAGAGTAAGATATGAGATATGAAATATCTAGTTAAATAAATTATCGCAAGGACTCAAAAGTGTCTAGATATGAACTATTTATTGACAAAAGAATACTAAAAGATTTGCATCATCAGACTTTTTACAACATCCAATTGGATAATATTTAATATGTTGCCCGAATAAACAAGTGGACTTCTTAAAATGAGTTGCTGGTTGTCAAAATTGCAATAAAATATTTGTTACAGTAATGACTTTTATGAAGAAACGTCTGTGTTGTATAATACAGGGTGAGGGAATTCAGTGCTATTTACCCTATACATATAAATAGCAAACAGCTTATCTTTTGCCATTTTAACTTAACAAAGTCATTTTTCCATTCCTTGAAAACAAAATCCTTCAAGTGACGTCCTTGTCCTACTTGACACTCCTTTACAGAACCCCCAAAGAAAACAAAGAGCTAACGTAAAGCTTCCAGCAACGAAAGCATTCTGGCAAACCCTCTTTGGACTTTGAGTCACTGTGACTCACACTCTTTCAACATTTGCTGGTGTCTGTATAATACCTGTAGCTGTCAGGTTGGCCGTACTGTCCTGAGAGACCTGACTTGTAGAGAGCAAATCCTCTGAACTATCATCGGGCAACTCTAGCTTGGGCGGTGGTAAACTCATCCTCTTGATTGGGCTTGGGGTAAAACTGGTGTTGCTGAAACTGCCAAATGAAATAGTTGTTATAAACAAGTATATTAAAAGTCTTAAAAATGAACAAGTCCATCATAAGGGAAATGACAAAGGATTACACTTTATTAAAATGGTACAAGTAATCTTATTGTCTAGTCCCTTGTCATCTCTTTTAAAAGTTCTATATCCGTAACAGAAGACTTAAAATAAAATCTCTTTAGGGAGTCAGTTTATGCTTTTGAAAACATTGCCTTGAACAGTGTTAGTCCAAAATAAAGTCGTATTGTGTGAATTTATGTTTAGTTCACATTTTCCGCTATAATCATCCAGTAATCCAGAATATGTTTAAATGTGGCATGCGTCTAGTCCCAGATATGTCAGATTAAAGGAAGTACATTATACTGTATTTTACACTTGTTCCACATCTCACCTAGACTGATTACAAGTCTCGTCGTAGTCCGAGGGAGAAGTGAAGGATACTTGAGAAGTGTCTCTAGACCTGTCGGGTGTGAAGAAGGTTGGAGTTGATGTTCCAGGTGTCTCGTCACCTCCGCCGAGCAGAGTTAGAGGGTCGTCTACACCCAGCAGCTCACAGAAAGTGGTGGTTTGCGGGTTAAACTGCTGCGTCGCTCGTCCTTGTTGTCCCCCCTCTTCACTCCAGGCTGGCACCGTCTTAGAAAAGTTCCTCGGCACTTTCAGTTCACCATTGAACCTCTTAAGCACATGGGCTTTCTCCTCCTCGGTTGGAGTAAATATCCACCTGAGTAGAAATATTTTCTGATAAGTTTGAAAAAAAATATGGATGACTAGCAGAGTATCCATCCTTCGTACGGGGTTGGTTTGTTGTAAGTATAAAATGCTTACTGCAGTTATACTTGTGCTTTGCATTTGCAATGGGGGAGGACATGGTTTGAGAAAATTTGGTTCTTTGAATTTATGGTATGCTATAGTATACCCCCGCCGCAGCAAACCTGCCGAATATGCGAATTTCCATTTGTCTGAATTGATTTTCAATTAAATCTATTTAAATAACATTAGGTTTAATGAATACTTAGGTTTGCTGCTACTAGGAAACTAATAAGGTATATTTTTTAGTAAAATATGAATAGCTTAGTATAAAAAAAATAAATTTACCAAGTTTGATCAATATCTATATATATAAAAGGCAAAGCCCTCACTGACTGACTCACTCATCACTAATTCTCCCACTTCCCATTTACCTAGGAGGCTGAAATTCGGTACACCGATTCTTTGGGCATTAAATAGGAAAACCAAGTAGTTTTTATTCTGATCGGGCTCCGCCCCAGTGGCTCTGGAGTTTCCCATGTTAACCTTATGATTTTTCATAAAAAGGAGTTAATGAATCTTAACAGCTGTTTCAATTAAACCAGTTGGTTCTGTTCTATGATGTTCAATAGCATTAAAGTTACAAGGATTACCAACAGGGTGCAGCACTATTATTTTTTTTTTATTTATGACAACAGCTAATTTGCAACCAAAAGGTGAGTGAGCGTAGCGAACGAACTTCAACCTGGAGGCGAGTTAGCGTAGCGAACGAGCTAACCTGAAGGCAAGTGAGTGCAGCGAACGACCTCCAACCTAAAGGTAGCGTACGAACTTCAACCAGGACGTGATTGAGCCATGCAAACGAGCTCACTTATGAAGTTAAACGGGGCAAAGCCCGCGGGTACAGCTAGTATATCCATAAACAAGCAAACTACAACATTTTACAAGATACAATCTACTGAAGGAAAATACATTTTGCTGGGTCAGCCGTCAGTTGGTGCTTTGGTGCTTTTGTTTCTAATATTTTAATGCTGGACCCAATATTTCGAATCAAAATCAGATGATGAAAATTATATTGAATCCGAATGTATGGTATGATAAATTTGAATATCGAATCCCAACTCGGATCTATTTCTAGAAAATTTGAATATCGAATCCGAACCCGCATCTCTTTCCTGTAAATTCCAATATCGATTCCGAATCCGAATCCAGTTAGAAACGGTAGATTCGTTCTCGAATCTGAATCAAATCTCTAAAAAGTCTATACGTTTTTGTACTATTTGCACAGCCCTGAATAACATTAAAAAATAAACTGTTACCTCTCTACACCAGAGGGACCAGGCATATAGGTGATTCCCTTTTTGACCGAAAGCAGATGATTAGTCAGATGTAAAATGGTGAGCCACTCTAGGTCATAGCTCAACTCTAGTGGCTGACTGTCATCATGGTCCAGCTCCATTATCTACAACAGTCAGGTGTACAGGTGTTAAATGTATGTAACCGGCAATTCTAGTAAAAAAATAAAATTTTGAAAAAATTACTGATCCTGAAAGATTGTTACTGTTTTGCTTGTGCTAAAGCAGTAACCTAGGTTCTAAGTATTTGCCTGGGTGGAATGAATGATGATCAGGTAGATGACAAGGTCATGTCAGTTTTTGAATAACCAAACAAAAAGGTTTTCCTAATAAGTCAATTATTGGGTTATGTTCAAATTCAAATATACTTATTAAAGCTTAGCCTCGCCAAGTTCAAAAAGCTTGTCGGGGTGTTCCAAATGATGCATAAAGATAACAAACAAAATTATTACATTTTTCTTCTTTTTTTAGAACATGGATACGAAAATCTACTATTTCTAAGGCCCTTTGTGGCATGCACTTCAACTTGAAACTAAGTAATTGGCAGAATACTTAAAGACTCTAAATGTAATGGAAAAAAGTAAATTACTTTGCCATCTAAACTATAAGTATTTTTTTACAAACAAACATTTCTTATCTTAAAATTAAACATTTACATGGTTATATGAAGTTCAGTCCTTACAATAAGTAAAGTTAATTCCACATTTACTTACTTGGAGAAATTTCCTCTTCGGCAAGCATTTATCTAATGCAAGGAACCTGGTGTCACCTTTTCGTGGCTGAAAACCCAACATTCATGTATTAAATTTAGAAATTAACCAATCTTACACTTCATGAGTCTAGACGTATAATCCCACTTACAGGCCCTGCTGGTATCATTGTTTTAGGCCTATATTTATTACTACTAGCAACAAAAACCAGCGTTGCCTGGGTCAAAATTACAAGGGCGGTTTTTAAAGTAAGAGCTGTTTTTGCTTATAACCCCATAGTTCGTTTGTACGCCGCAACGAGGCTCCTTCCCGCTAATTGGCATCATTTGTGAACAGAAGGAAGCAATTTCCAGCTCTGTAGTTGACATATGTGATGCAAAGTGGACTGTGTAGTTAAGTGCTGTGCGTTTATAAAAGTAAAAAGAATTTCATGGCCATTTTGCTATTTTTACACTCAATAATAAATTTCTGCCGCTGCCCTCATTCATTGTATAAGGGCCATTAGCCTCCAGTCATCTGGCGGTGAATGTCGTGATTGGATATATGTTTCTTGTAATGTAGTCCCCACCAAAAAACAACGCGGCGGAAGATTCAATAGTTAAATAATTTTTTAAACACACAGCTAAACGTACATGTTGGCTACAGAGCTGGGTACAATTATTATTCTGTTCACAAATGATGCCAGTAAATTGCTGAACCCTTAGGACGGCTCTGGAACCAACCAGACACCTTGAACAATTATTATGAAACTAACATTTCTGCATAATATTAGTTTATCACAAAGGTTATAAATGAAAAATGAATAAACTCACACCGTGTGGAACAATAGCAGCAAACTTGCAGTGTAGATGAGCGGCAAACCAGTAAGTTGGTTTGAGCTCGTGTAATAGCTCTTCAGCTGGTTTACTTCCCAATGCGTTCTGCTCTATATCCTGTCTTTGCGAGATAAAGTATGATTAGCTCATGACACTATAATATTGGCACTGTGTTACCAAGGCAACACTAAATAAACAAACCGTAATGCTCCTCTGGCATGACTTCATCATAGGCGACGGCAATGACGTAATGTTTGCCGTTTGTAATCAGCTGCTTGTTTAAATCTTTTCTTGGAGAGCAAAAATATAACAAAAAAATAACATTACCTCATTGCCGTCGCCTTTAATGACGTCACGCCAGAGGAGCATTTCGACCTGTTTATTTAGTGTTGCCTTGGATGAACTGATTTTTAGTCTATTCAGACTAAATTTGGGAAGTAATCATTTTCAACTTCTTTACAGATAATAAATGGTTGATAGTTCAAGTGGAAGTTGATTGGACAGGTATTTGTAAGCATAACACACGTTCAAAATTATATTGATCGATTTCATCGGTTGAAGCTTATTGTTGCATATTTATCATTAATTTGTCATATCGATAGTAGAATTTACACAAACACAATCGTAGTAGGCGAAATGATTGAATACCAAACAGCTGCTTATAAGCATTAGTAAAGTTTGAAGTTGTTTTGAGAGGTTAGCTTTACATGAAAAATATTTTTTTGTTTTCTAATAAAGTTGGTTAAATAATGTGGCAATATAACGAAAAATATAGACATCACACGGACAAAAAAAAGTCTTTTCTACCCTCGGTCATTTTGCAGTGAAACTTGAGCTTGACTTGAAAAAAGTCACTTTATGCCACAGTGATGACCTACTATTATTATTACTCAGCAAAGGGTGTAATGGGTTTCAACCAAACACTTTTCCCCAAGACTTTGGATTTCCATAGATTGAGAGAAAAACATAAAGAAAATGGACATATTAAAGTGAATTAATAAGCCCTGCAGCTCAAAAGGTTTAGTAATAGGCCTATAGTTAAACAATGGCGTTGATAAAAACAGATATCTAGTTTGATATTTATTATATAATTTACTTACTGGAAAAACGGTTTCCTCTGGAGCAGTGTATCAACATCCCCGTAGTCAGTGACTCCTCTTGGCCAATCATGTGACAGCATGATGTCCACCGGCTGAGTCAGCTATGACAGAACACTAGTAAATTTTTTATCACATATTCTCCTATCCACAGGAGATGTTTAAGGCTCCAATCCACAAGCTTTCAACTGTGTTCACACTAGCGAGGAACAGTATGTGAGAACTATAAGAAAATTTACTTTAACTATCAGTATCCTTTTTAGCCATTTTCCTGATAATCTAGCAACTACTGTAAACACCTTTCCAATTCATAATAGGATAAGGTTGTGAGACTTAACTGTATTCACCGTCAAACATTGACATTTAATATTTTTGTGACTCTTTGTGATACCTGTTTCAGTCTGAACACCTCCAAGTTCCTGATGTGGTAGACTGATCGCTTGGTCTCTTCACTGTAAGGAGGTTTCTCATAGTGTCCTTTCATATAATCTCTACTCTTGTAGATACCTGACAGGCCAGCAATGCGTACACCTCCAAAATTCACGACACCAGCATAACTGAAAAATGTTCTCCTAAGCTTATTAATGTTTGTAACAACATTTTAGTAGGTTAAAAAGTTAAAATATATATAACATTTTACTTTTGGGCAACTAATATTGCGGAATTGGCTATAGTCCGCTCACAAAATTTAGGCGGTTTGTCTACTGTTGTATAAAAATCAGGGTGAGGTGGAGGCGGAGGGGATGAAATCGCTTCCCCTCAAACCGCCTAAATTTTGTGAACAGAGTATAGTAGAACATATCAATGTCCATGCTACGGTAAGAAGGCTTTGTACCAATAATATCTGTTTACACATATTTGTATATGTTCAGAAATATCTGCAAAGTAGGATTTGGGTCCCCTTTCGTGCTGCCTGTGCTCACAACAAGCATTCGGTTTTTACAAGAGTTTGTGAGCATGGTAATGGTTTGTTAGGGCAAGAAGAGGTGTATGTGATTTCTGAACTTATTATCCTCCAGCAATTATAGTGTTGAATAAAACATAAAACGCCACGAGTGCAGAAACCTTAAAAATACATAGGAGATTTTTCAAGACAATGGAAACACACACCTCCTAATCAAGGGTAGGATGAATCTTTTACATCTCACAAAACCTTGATTTTTATTGGGAAAAGCGAGTTTAAATAGTAGTTTTCATTACTAGTCTCGAAAGTGACTTACTGTGGAAAAAGCTATCAAACCCCGCAATGGCACTTTTGAGATGAGAATTGAACAATATTTTTTCATTACAATATCAAAAAACAACATGAATATTTTTGTTTATTCAACTTCGTATCAAGGAAAAAAACCGAACTCTAGGGATGGTCAAGTCTCAAAATTTCGGGAAATTTTAAATCTCGTTACACGAGACGAGATTTCTTTTTGGCTGAGATTTTTATCGAGACGAGAATAAAAAAAAAAAAATTAAATGCCTGCAGAAAGTCAATGCAATACCCGCAATACAAGAGCGTCTCAAAACATTTGAGAAGTTTTGTTAAGTGTTAGCAGTGTGAGGAATGTTTTATTACTATAAAAAAGTCAAAACAAGTAACTATTTTATAAAAATTAATATTTTATTTTATGATTTATTTTATTTTAGGATAAGTTGAACTCTATCCTAACTGATATCACTATGTTTCCTAATCGTAGGCATTTTTAATAAGTTAGGGGTGATTAATAAAAAAATGTTATGCTGATGTTTTTTAATAAAAGATTGTAAATATTCTTGCCTATTATCATTATTTTTGTATTTAAACAGTCATCTAACAATGTTACAAAATCAGGTAAAAATTCCGAACGTGCATTTCCCGTTGTCTATGAGAAGGGAAATCCCGTCTCGATCTCGTCTCGAAATTTTATGAGAAATAAAAAATCTCGTCTCGTCTCGTCTCGAACTAAAAATCCAATCTCGTCCATCCCTACCGAACTCATAACACTGAGTTTCCGTGCTTATGTCGAGGTACAAAACAATGCAACAGCTGATTTGTCTGCACAGCAAAATCCCATCACTGTTACTTTCTGTGCACCACAAATGCACAGAAAGTTAACGCTAAGCAATTTTGCTGTGCAGTAGCGTGAATAACCTATTTTTTTAGCTCACTTTACGTTTAGAAAGTGTATTTTCGTGTGTAGAGTACCTAATGAAAAATGTTCAGTCACATTCCATGTGTGAAAGGGGTGTGATACAAGGCTAAGACGATACTAACAATGACAATAAAATAACATTGATACTGTCAGCAGATAATTCTACTGGATAAAGTCACTATTACAAATCTTTTTGATGATTTTCCAACAAGTGGCAAAACACTCACTAACATTTGCAAACTCTGTTTTTTGCAAGTTAATAACATAGCCTATGTACACCACCCAGAATGTTACTCAAATTATTTGCAAGCAGTTATCAAAATCTTATCTTAGGGTCTACACCTGACTTCACTGATTGATTGCTAACACACTCACCCTAAATAATATATATTAGGAGCCACCCATCCCCCATAAGGGAGCTCCTGTAAGTGATTTGATGCCTCATGGTTCCCTCCGATGAACAGTGTAAGGATAGGCGCTTCTTTCTCTAATGAATAATACCTGCACAAAGGGTTTTAGATGAAGTAAAATATAGTTAAAAAACCTTGCATTTTAAGTCCTGTGTTAGGTTCTAAATGTACTGCTACGACATTTTTTTCTGTAAAAAACACCAACTACTTGACACCGTAGACCTACTGGATCTAATATTAAATTGAAAAATTAGTTATTACTCAATATACATAGTTATAGTTTTTGTAACAGTACAATCACAATACTAGTTGAAACACAATTCTGAATATAGTATTTCTACAAATAAACACCTAGATATACCTAACACATTTTTTTTACTTTAACTGTTTACAAAACATCAAAATAGCATATAAAAAAACATAGAGCAATAAAGCTCTAAGGTTATAAACCTGTATAAGGGGTCTATATTTAAACCATACACAAACTCAGTAGTAGGCTTGAGATTGCCTGGTCGTATAATAAAGACACTGATACGCATTTTTACTGTATCAGTGTTTCAGTGACAAGCAAGCCAGTACAGTAGAGTCTGCAATCCTTATATAATACGTGAAGGTGATTTCTACGAAACACTACTCCTCCGTTAATAATGGACGGATTTTTACAAACAAGGTGTCAAAATTAAGTATTTGTTGTGTAGACACCCCCTTTCTACCAATTCCTGTAATAAGAGTTCTCGGGCTCTGCCCCACAGGCCATCAAAACCCCAATGTATTTCTTATGAAGAAAAAGATTTTGTTTACTTAAACAGACGAATAATTTGTATTAATTGCATACTAAAGCAGCTGTTCATAGTAAACACATGATACACACAAACACAAGAGCGTTCGTTTTCAGTTTCAATAACTGGAGTGGAGTGAGAGTTTTCAGAGTGAGTGAGTTTTCAGTTTCGATAAGTGGAGTGATTGATAACATTATCTTTGAGTTGACTCCAAGTCATTGGAAATTATGACAGTTATTCGTTTTGAAATAACACCTGCAATACTTAGGGATTGCTCGAATTCGAGCAACAGGTGCACTAGTTTTTTAAAATAATGTTCCTTCACATCCTAGGGCAGCAGGAGTAAGCTCCAGCCTCAAATCGTTTTACATAATGCTTCAAGCTAGGCTTAGAGGCTCGCAGCAACACATAGCCATTGGAGGTTGGCGGGATTCGAACCCAGGACCTCGGGGGCAAAACCTACTCTTAGACAGTAACCTAGACTCTTATAAAACAACATAGGGCAACATGTTAATAGGTTATTCAACTTCAAGCACTTACTTGTAGAAAGAACAAATGTTCCTATACTTTTGAGAGACAGCCATACTAGACAAATCTTGCGAGTTTCTCGTAGATTGGAAATCACCACAGCATATGAGAAGGTCAACTTTGAATTGACCTTCTTTTTCCATATACTGAATAGCATTATAAATTTTCTCCAACTCTCCGTGAGCACACCCTTCAATAGCAATCTTCATGACTAGATTTTCTAGAGCACAAGATAAAGCTATAAAACATTATACTCATTAGTATTAGTGCAGTACTTAGTACTGTACATTATTGAATTCAAAATAAAAAACTTCAGGTTGAATTCAGAAACTTACACACACACTTTCTCGTCCCTTCATAATTTCCATAATCATAGGAAAATGTATGGATTATGCCTAATATAATTACATAATATTAATAATAATATAAACATAATGCTTGTTGCACAAATTTTTGAAATAGGCCTAGTAAACTTTAAGGTGTTTTTCTCTGGGTTTTAATCGTACAAAAACAGTCTGTAGGTAACATAAACTAACAACTTAATTTATTATAACCTAAACTTTACCTTCATAATCTAACATTACTTCAAAACACTTAATGCAGTCATGAATTTGTATAGAACTTGACCGACCACCGAACCACCCTGACATGCCTCAATAAGAACTACATGAATCAGCCCAACATGCATGTATCTATAAGCATGTCCATCTATATCTCCATAATGTGACGAAATTCCCTTTAATAGAAAACATTACTGTCTACAGAATCACTTGAAATATTCCTATAGGAAATGATAATTTTGTAATAAACGATGTTATTCAACTCATCGTCTATGTTAGGTACTCTCTTCACTTATCCTGAACTTAGCGTAGCAGACAAGCAGCACAGTACCCTATTGGTTTTGGTATTCTAGTTCTAGTTGTAATGAAGTGAAGTGACGTCACTAGGCCTATTGCCGGTGACAGAATCAGTGTCAACGCAGTTAATTTAATAAAGTTGAATACTTTCAGTTGCTTGACGATGAATACTATCAGCTGTTGGCCTATTTCACCCATAGTTCACTCCACTTGTAATATTATTCGTCCCAACTTGTTTATTGAAGTGTTTTAGGGCCTATATTTGAACGGCAATATCTTGAGTAATACTTATCATCGGTGTAAAATAATGGTATACTGTATTTGGATTCAGAGGTAAATACTATAAAGTAAGTAACCCATTAAAATTAAAAATTTGTTTGGAGGCACCTGTATTGAATAAATATGCATTTGAGAGTGATGGTTAACTAGTGATTGACGTACCGTATTTTAAATTACTATGGGGACACTCCTGCAGCTCCAAGCATACATTACCGGTACATAAGAGAAAGATTTGAGGATGTTATTGACTTGGAAGTTGAAAGGACACTGCCCAACTCTCTTCATTGTTCAGCCTAGCTTTCTTATGTCCTCCTGAACTACCCTGTTCTCCCAAAAAAATCTACGCAATTGTTTTACCAGAAGTAGTCAATAGGCCTAAAATACAACCAAAAATCTCAAAGAGCTCAGACTTAAACATGCCTCATTGCTGCCTCAGTCCAACACCAAAAAGGTACCCGCACTATGCTATCAAAATTCTTAACACACTGTCTGAAAGAGAAATGAGATCACAAACTAAGTTAAGTTAACCTAAAAATTTAGGGCAACGCTGTGCAACTCTCCAACAAAAGCCACTCTAAAGTCTTCATGATCTTGCTGATGAACCTCAGAAGCGGGATTTATTTATTTTTACGGCAAATACCATTTTACAATTAATTTTACATTGTGATAGGCTACATGCGACAAAATGCTTTTTTACATGCTGTTAAATATTGTGCAGATACATACGGTGATACATGCAAAGATGAATTTTCAATGAAAACGATGAACAAAGAGAAATAAACAATGAGAGATGTTACCATGATAGTTAAATAACATTCTTGGCAATTAATAGACTAAGTTATAACCAGGTACAATAATAATTAAATATTACATGCTTGGCTATAAATAAACTATAACTAGGTAGGCTAACAATAATAATTGGCAACACTGGCAGTGGTGATAAAAGCGATATGAAAACGAGTAATAGTGATAACAATAACAGACTAGAAATAGATAACAGTGATGATAATGAATGGAATGACTAGGGTGAAGAATCAACGGTGATAAAATGTATAAAGGGTAACAAAGATAGACTATGATGCAACAACAGGTCAATTCGAAAACACTCCCCCCGCCTCACAATGTGGTTGTGCCTTTTAAAGGCGCCACCAGTAAACAAAACACAACACCGTTCCGCAACTCAAACACTGTAGTGAGGTCACTTTAGAGGAGTAGACTCCGCAACTCTCGCTTGAATGAAGCTGGTGATGGCCCGAAGAAGTCAAGATGAGAAGACACATCTTTGCTGGTTCTCAGGAGTCTAGAGATGCCGTGGTTACAAGCGTAGTTAGTCGGCTGGTATCTCTTTCTGAAGACAGGTCTGGATCGAGCCCCTGGGAATGGTGAGGTCGATGTCGTTTAATACCTCAGGACAATTGATGATCCCATTTACCAGTTTATACAGGAAGATGATGTCACAGACCCGTTGCGGGATGAGGGAGGAACTCAGTAAACCTATCCAGCTTTTAAGTGTTTTCAATGTTTAAGTAGGTAGCCTAGGTCAGAATGGCATCTTCAAAACGGATACCTAAGTTACCCCAGCCTACCTCATATAATTACAATTACAGTAGAACCTCTTTCATCCGAACCCCCTCCCTTTTTCCGTAACAATTAGGCCTATACGATCCATTTTAGCTACTGTTACCGGTAGGCCTATGTAAAAACAACAATATATTCTGTAATCTAAACTATTCAATAGTCCGAACCACCCCCAGTCCCAATTAACTTAATTCGGATCGGAATTAAGAGACTCTACTGTAATGAAAACAGAAAAGTCTAAAGGATACCAGATACTTACCAAAAAACTATGCAAACAAACACTGGAAGCGCTATTGATATAAGTAAATCTAGCCTATATCACAGTATTGCACCGGAGTCCCCTATCATCACAAGTTTTAACCTAAAATAAAGTCACTAAAACATTATACATTATTGTTTGTAATAATTTAATTCAACATAAGAAGTCTACTTACTTAATATGTAAAAATAGATTCAGATAGACTGACGCTGTTTAAAACCTTAAGTTATAGGTTATAAGTTTTAATTTGAGTTTTGGTTTTGGTGAGTTCAGTAAGGAAGGACACTAACCTCTATCTAGTCTCTATGTACTCTAGTACTCTTTACAATTTTGAAATTTGAAACGAATTATTCGAATTCGTCAGTAAAAACAATGAATTCAAACCCTTGTAAATTCATTATTCATTGGTAAAATAAACAAAACCAACATAATTACAAAACAACTAACGTACTAACAACAACAACATCAACATGAAACATGACATAATAATATGACAAGGACAAGCACAAGCACAAGACATTCAAACCAAGAGAAGAGAAGAAGAGAATGAAGCTTCCCTGTTAGCCAAGGAGTATAACAATAACGAGTAGCTTGTGGTAGCGCAGCTATAGTGTATATTAAATGCCTATTATAAATGAACAACAATCATAAAACAAAAATTAAATAGGAATAAAACGTGTATAATTGAAATTACATCACAGAGAAAAAGGCAATGCAGAAGTGTGCCAACTGTAGATTCTTCCAAGATCTTTGAAAATACCTGCTATTATCCAAAATGATTGTTTTTTTTTTTTAGTTTTAGAGAATGTGTGTTTTACAGCAACGGCCAAAACAGCCTTTATCCCCCTCACCTATTATATTTTGGCTATTTGATAATTTTCAAATTATATTTATCATCTTTATGGAACAGCTGATGCCAATTTAATTATTAGTTCTGTACGGTGCACTCAAGGCCCCACTTTCTAGTGAGGCCTTGCCTTGGTGCACTTCGAAGGTCGTGTTTTGTTTACAATTTGTTATTTTGTTCCTTGTTATTTCAGTCTTTTAAAACCTCGTTACACCAAATAATAGATCTAATCATAAACAATAGCTCGTCCCCTAGTTATATAGCAAAACAGAAAAGCTCAAATCATGAAAATTAACCTTTAAAAATATTATCAAAATTTCGTCGACACTATGCTCCAGTGTCACCGTACATGAAGTAGACACAAAAAATAGCAGCTTCAAAATGTACAATGGGAAAAGGTCTACTTGTGGTTGGTTAATCTATGACAATATTGTCTGCAATAGACAATTTAAGAAAAACGGATCCACAAAATGTGCCCTCATTGATTTGTTAATTATTTTTTGTATCAAATCGGTGGAAGCCGGTTAGACAGTGGTGGGTTATTGCTTTGCCGACTTATCGAAAGCTTTCTACTGTGTTGCTCATGTAATTCTTTTTGGAAAAATGATCTTCAATTGGCATTACCGGAATGAAGGGCTCGAATGGAACGAGTCACGGCCGCCTTTAACTCCAGGTCGCGGCCTTCGAAGTGGCAACGTCGCAAGTGGTGTTGTAACAGCTGTTTTGTTTGGAAGCAGCTAATGGCATTTTTGTATTTACAAAAAAAATGGTTACTGGACTATGCTGACTGACAATATTGACTCCGCTTACAATGTAGGCCTACAGATATAGATTTTTAATTCTTATTGTTTCAGTTTTCAATTCTGTATGTTTTATTTTGAATATTTTAATAAATTTATGTTCATAAATTTCAATCAATAAACTGCGAATTAATGAGCTGATGTCACCTGTCTGCCATGATGACGTCTTTCACTAAACAACACCACTTGCGACTCTAACCACTACCAAATCCACTCCACCACTTCACCAATTCCACTTGCCAATTCTACCAGGCCGCGGCCTGCAGTTAAAGGTGGCCGTGGACGAGCGAATTCATGGCTTCATAATTCACTTGCTCTGGTACTCTGCTTCATCCTACGTAGGATGATGTCATACGACAGCGTCGTCTCTGGCCAGGATCGGGACCACGGGCTGACCTTGAACATTTCTAGAAACCCCTAGCTTAAGAGTTTTATTTTTTATTCTTTTTGTAAGAAGTTATAAATATTTACGGTAGACTTCCGTATCTGTTGTAAAAAATAACCAAATCAAAATATCGATCGTTTCATTCGGTAGTTTGGTTAGTAACCTAACTAACCAAACGATTTTTAATCAAATATTTTTTCAAACAATGTATATAGTATGTAAGTT